TCTTCCTTCTTTAGTCAAAAAGTTTTGTTCTGATCTCTCTTGGTGTTCATATTATTATGGTGGTTGTTTAAGCTATGGTGACAAAAAACTTTATCGTATTATTTATAGACTGTGATTTGTTTATTTTTAAATTTTAATAACATGATATGAACGAATCAAAACTACAATAGTCCATGAGAAATTAATTAGTCAAGTTTAGAATGGGCTCATGTCTTTTAATTTTAACTTAATATTTCTTATCTAATATGGTTATTTTGTTGACGGGTCTCATCTCATGATATCCGTATCAATAATTGTTGAATAAAGTGGAAACATTCATTGGTGTTGTGAGATGTTGGGAAGAAATAGCCATTGAACCCAAGATTTCTCACAAGATGAGAGAGGGTTGAAGCATAAAAAAATGTTTCATTAATTCAAGAGAATTAAGATACATAAATATATGAGTTTGAGTCGAATTTGATTAATAGATCCACTTAAGCCTAAACCCGACCCAACTAATGTATCCATTGAACCTTTAAGCTGGTGAATGGATATCATCTAATACTAGCTTGAATATAAGTCTAAAAAAAGGTTGATCCACTTAACCCTTTGGTCAACATACTAATAGATGATTCATTGATTTAGTTTTTCTTTGATAATTGCCTGTTAATCTCTATTATTATGTACGATTGTACTAGACTAGATTATGCATAATATTTATTACTGATTTATTGTTGCAATATAGTTGAATTGACTCACTCCATTTAATTCTAAAGTACTTAATGATTCTTTTCACCCATAGTACTTAGTACATTTCTTGTGCCATCATTTGAAATTCTGCCATTTTATTGGATCTTGCCACATAGTGTTGTTTCTTACTTCACCAAGTGATGAGATTTCTGCCAAAAAAATAATAATAACTTAGGCTAGATCTTCAGTCAATGATAGAACCTACATAATTTACGTCAATATATACATTTGTATCTAATTTATTTTATTTCATATATAAAATAACTTCCCTAGGTGTGCCTTTGAGATGTTAAAGAACTCATTCAACAACAAGCAAGTGAGATATGTGTGGATCATGTATGAGTTGACTAAGTACTATAGTAGCATATGATATATTGTACATAATTTGAGAAAGATATATTAATTTTTTTTACTAATCTTTAGAAATTAGGTACATCTATCTTGTTACTTTCTTTGATGTCACTAAGTTTATAATTATGATATATTGATGTATTTATAGGTTTACATTATAAATTTTCAATATCTCATAATATATCTAAAATATACTTCTAGTGTGAAATAAATATGCCTTATTTGGAGTATGTTACTTCTATCCCTAAGAAATATCTTAATGTTTCTAGTATTTTAACATCAAACTACTTAAATAGGTTTCACTTAAGGATTCTCTTTAACATTTGTCATTTCTAGTCATTATTATATCATCCATATATATTATGAGAATTTTAATTCGCAATGAAGGTAAGTGGTTAATGAATAAGTGTGATATACGTTAGATGATTTGTCTCTTTCACTCTCTCCCTCTCTCTCTCTTTTCCTGTTCTTGCCCTTCATGAGTGATCTTCTGGCTGGGCTGTGATAACATGCTATTTATGCATGTAATTATATAATTATTAATGCAAATTAATGCATTAATCATTACAAATATATGCATGTTATCATATTTTAAGTATATTTCTATCATTTTGTGTAAATTCATGTTATGATCTTAAAATACACCAAATTATAGATTATTATAAATAATTACACATTACAATCTTTAATCCTAATTATATTTATGATCATAATCATGTTTTAAGAGTGAAAATATGAGAGAAAAGATATTTATTAACATTTATGTATTTATATAAATTTATTTTATATAATACATAAATGCATAAAATTAATTAAAATTTATTCTCTTCTTATTTTAATAATTTGACCTTTTATAATGATAGATTATTCAATTTTGAATAAAAAAACAAATTTGAATTAATTTGGAGTTGTATTTTGAAAGTTATGATTTTTACAATTTTATAGAATTTCTGGAATTTTTCTGAATTTATTTATATTTATTTTTATTTTCGATTTTTAAATGTTTTAAATTAATTAAAAAATCGCAAAAAGGGGTTATATGTCGCGCGTGTACACGTGGATCTAAAGTCCTTTGTTTTTCCCGTGTGGGACTAAAGTCCCTTTAGTTTTTTTTTTATGTGCAGGACGCGTGGCGTGATCTCGTGCGTCCGATCGACATCGCGACAAATAGCGTGCGTAGATCACGTGGAATCGAGGTCCACGCGATCAGAGATCAACCACGTGCCTAAATACTCACTTAAGTGAATAAATTGTGACCGTCTGATCGAGAGTTATAACGGTCCAGATTATTCACATCAGATGGACATCCAATCACATCTTAACCGCACGATCACGATTGGACGATCGTCGAATCGTCGCGACGATTCGAGAAGAGGCGTCTCATCGCGATCGTCCATCGCGATCAACTCCATCAGATCGGACAGCCACGATCATTTACGAATTTTATAAAATCCGTTCTTCGCGACGGAAGAACGGCCGCGATCAATCTTCAATTTCTCCTTGTTTAGAGCTCCAATTCGCGCGCCATCTTTTTCATTGTGTTTGCAACTCATTTCCGCTTCTGTTGGATTTTTAATTTCAATGTTTTATTGAAAGAATTGGAAGAAATAAAGTCTTGAACTCCTCTTTCGTCTTCGAAAATTCGGAATGAAAAGCTTTGCATCCGGCAATTAATTGGATCATTTCGAAGGCTAATTTGGGTTAGATTGTTTGTTTTCATCTTAATATTTCATCATTTACTGTTAATTTTACTTTAATTATTGTAGATTAAGTTTAATTTAGTTTTAATTTCTGTTTTTAATCATTTCGCGATACGAAAATTTCTCTTAACTTCAAACTTCGATTACTCTTCGAATTCTCATCCAAATCACCTGATTTTTGATTCCATGGATTCGAAATTGAGTTATCTTTCTTAATGTGTGGCAATGATGTCCTTCTGGGCTCCGTCGTGAAGGACAGCCCTCCGACGTGTTGTGAACGGGAGCCTTGAACGTGCCCCCCCCCCCGCCCTGTTCGCATAACGTCATAGTGCGGTTATGCGAGAAGTGCTCTAACGTGTACACGTCAGAGCACGTTGTGAGGTAATGCGGAATTTCCTGCATAACGCACATTACTGGCCAGTCTTGGCCAGCTAGTTATTTCTTTCCCCCCTTTGTTTTCTTATTTAAAGAGGACTGTAAGAGTTTTTCAACAGAGAGAAAGTTTTCCTTGTTCCTCCTGCTGTTTTTCCTGTGACTCGTGAGGTGATCTCGCCGGCGACGTCTTAACTGCCGTCGTCTCTCCGGCGAGTTTCTGACACGACTGTCAGCGGCCGGAGCTCTTGGACAAGGACGTGGTCAAAGGGAAGATAATCCTGTGTGGGTATTCGTTCAATTTCATTTCTAGCACTACATCGATCAACAGGGCCTCTGAGACCGCCAGAAGCCTCGGTGCTGCCGGTTTCGTGCTCGTCGTCGAGAACACCTCACCGGAGGTGAAGTACGACCCGACCCCCCTCAGCACCCCAGGAATTGTCGTCGTCGACGAGGGCAAGTCAAAGGTGTAAAGTCAACCCGTCGACTCTTTACCTGAAAAACAAAGTGGACGGTTGACTTACCTGTTTATTTACCTTTTAGGAGCTGATATATTACAACAATTCCTGAACAAAGAGAGAGGGCGACCAAGTTCGAAGGCGTGGCGACTATCGAGGATGGTCTATCCCCGACGCTCCACGAGTCAGCGCCGTTGGTCGCGCCTTCTCCTCCCGCGGGCCAGATGCGAAGGACTTCAGCTTCCAAGACGCCGACGTCCTCAAACCAGACATTCTGGCCCGGAGAACCTCATCTGGGACGCCTGGTCCCCCAACGGCACCGACGAGGCCAACTATGTCGGTAGGCAAGCCAGCAATCTGATGGTGGTTGACTTTGGAGATCGTGTTTGACTTTTTGTAATTGTTGTTGCTGAGGGCAGGGGAGGGGTTCGCGATGGTCTCCGGGACGAGCATGGTGGCGTCGCACATTGCAGGGATTGCGGCGCTGATCAAGCAGAAGCACCCGCGGTGGAGCTCCGCTGCCATAAAGTCTGCGCTGATGACGACGGCGACCACACTGGACCGGAGCGGCCGGCCGATCCTCGCGCAGCAGTTCTCCGACCGCGAGACGATGACCCTCGCGGCGGCAACCCCCGTTTGAACCTAAACCCCTCTTCTTTCCGCCAGCTTATGGAGACTACATCCGGTTCCTCTGGTCGATCCCTGACGTTGACCCGCGCGAGATCAGGAGCCTCACGAGCTCTTCCTGCAACGGCACCGGCGGCGGGCATCCGGCGGAGCTGAACGGGCTCTCGATCACCGTTTCGCGGGTGGAGGGCACTGTCACGGTGAAGAGGATGGTGACCAACGTTGACGAGACAGAGGAGACCTACGTGGTATCCTCCAGGATGCAACTGATTCAGCTTCCGCTTCTGGGAGATCAGACGGAGCTCGATTAGTTTCTGCTAGACGAGGAATAAGGAACAGCCGGCGTTGACCCTCCTCCCCGGCCACTCCAGGGAGCTGCGGATGACCCTTACCGTCAGATCAGTACCGGCCAGTACAGCTTCGGAGAGATCCTCATCAAGGGCAGCAGGGGCCACCAGGTTAGGGTTCCCGTCGTCGCCATGGCCACAACAGACGACGATGATGATGATGATGTTCAAGCTCATCTTCGAGGTCTTCCTCTCTCTCTCCTTCTACCAATTCCATACGAGGGGTATTTACGTAAAATCACTATATTATTCTTATTTTCGCAAGTACAAAGTTCTGCGCACGAGCCATGCAATACCCAATGTTTCTAGGGGCTTATCTGCAAAAGAAGAATAATACAGCCGCCGGAGGATCCAATCTTCTTTGTCGGTTTGTTCGGATCTGGACAAGTAGATTGTGACGAGCAGGCCCCACAGGGTCAAGAGGGGACCACGATGGGCGCCGGCGGGACCGCGGGGTGCTTGGGCCAGCAGTGCCAGCTGCCCTCTTTGGTCCGCTCCAGGTGGAAGAACCGCGGGATCCACATCATCCCTGTGGCGACCCTTTCAGCCGCCAGCTGTCTCGCCCTATCCTCAACGGCCCTCTTCAGCTCGCCGGCGCCGTCCCAGTCTCGGCTCAGAATCGCCCGGTTGACTTCCGCCCACACGGCCGCCGATTCCGTCGTTGACACCGCCTGCGCCGCCGCGGCCGGTCATCCACAGTCGGATCAGATCCAGAGAAAATGGCCCCCGTTTTTCGGGAAAATATGCAACAAGCAGACTTTTTTTAATAGAAAATATTACCCTTTTTACCTGGCCTGGAACTGTCTAACCATGCTTAATGCAGATAATGTTTTTTTGGAAAATGTGTTTCCCCGGATAAACGTATTTCCGAAGACGCAGAATTTCCTAAAAATAATTATTTTACTGGACACTTTTCATTTTTAAAATAAAAATAATAAACATAGAGAAATAATTATGATATTCTAGAAATTATGATCATATTCCAAAAAAAGAAATCAACGGCGCATGATTTCCGAAAGAAATGTCGGCGGGAGGGCGTTAGATTCCGACTTACATGTGGGTCCCGCACGGTGGGAGTTTTCAAGCCGAAGATGCACTCCTTGGCGTCGTACAAGACCGTGACCTTCCCACTGTGGACGTCCTTCAACATCACCTGCCTGTTCGTCGACATGGCAGCCACCGGAGAAGCTCAGAGAATGCAGGTAGGCGACGGATGATGAAGAAGAAGAAGAAGAGGATGGATGAAGAAGGTGAAGGGGGGTTCGTGGTTTACCTGTCCCAGCGGCCGTAGATCTCGTAAATCGTCATCAGGGTCTTGGAGTGGAAGATCTTCCCCTTGACGGCGCGGGCGGAGGAGCCAAAGCCAAGGAAGAGGTGGCTCCGGTAGTAGCAGAGATCGGCCTCAAGCCCGGTCTCCCTGCAGAGGATGCTCACGTTTCCCCCCCACTCGGTGCTCGGCACCGGCAGGAACTTGATCACCAGCGACGGCGCGTCCATCTCGTAGCTCTCCCCGAAGCTCCGCAGCTTCACCTCCCTCTTCCCCTGGATCTGCGTCTCGATGCCGGTGCCTGCATGCGTCCAGCGACATTAACTCCGGCGATGGAGCGGGGAAGAAGATGGTCGGGGGCTCTTCAGCAGGCTCACCGGTGAACCTCGGGACCAGTTCCTGCCACCACAGTAGCTCCACCTCCTGCTCCGCGTCCGTTGCGTGGAGGGCCGCAACTGGCGGGTGATGAGAGACCTGCAAGTCATAGGGAGGATTAAAATTAGAGGATTCGAGTGACGTCGATGGCGGCGGCTATGGCGGACCATCGAGCTCACCTGCTCGAGGAGAACGTTGAAGGTGCCTTTGGAGACATGGTGGGTCTCCCCGAGGACGGGGTTGAAGGGGGCGAGGCCGAATATGGGGGGCCTTGTGGTGGAGATGCTCCAGGCGACGACGGAGGTGAACCTCTCCAAGCTGGTCTTCCCCTTGTTGCAGCGGCGGAGCATGTCCTCCGCCACGCAGTAGACCGTCTCGCCGTAGCACTGCAGCTGTGACTTGGGCATGTTGAAGAGCGCCGGCAGCTACACGGGGAGTCCTAATCATGGTGGGTTCTTCTGTGGGCGGCGACGCTGAAGGTAATCGACGGCGATGGAGGACTCACCTGGAAGTGGGTGAGGTCGGTCCCGGGGCGGACGTTCTTGAAGAGGCTGATGAGCCGCTGGACGATGTTCGGTGACTGGTGCTCCGCGGCCAGGCCACCGTCTAGGGATAGCGGCTGCGTTAGCAACACCTTCTCTGGCTGCGCCGGCGGCGCCGGCGGAGGAGGGTGGTCGCGCTCTACCCCCTGGCTAACCTGGGCAGGCAAAAAATGGCCGAACGAGATGAGGCAGAAGACATGCGCAACAAGCAGACTTCCTCTCGCGAGGTCACCATTAGGTCGTCAACAACAACAATGAACCTAAAATCGGGCGAGAATGAAATCGAAACTGTGGCAGGAAGATGCCGGCGTTCGGGCCGTCCACGGCCGCCGCCTGCCCGGGGGAGGAATCCGGCAGCGGCGGCGGTGGCCAAAATAAGCCTTTGCTAAGAGCTGTGGGAGAACCGATTGCTCCCCAGATCGTGTCAGTGGCGACCTCCCCACCAACTCCGCCGCTGGCCCAGACTTCCTTATCGTAAGCGAGGCGGAGCGGAAGAAGAAATCGAAAATCTGATCGGGAAATCCGAAGAAGAAGGCGATCTGACTGGAGAAGGGAATACCATTCCTCCGGCGATCGGTGGCCCGATTTCGGGGTATCTTCTCCGAGGAAAAGAGGAAAACGGCGGCAACCCTCGGCTGCGGAGACGGCGGATCCCTCAGATGTAACGCTGCGCTTGGGGGTGGGGGAGGAGGGGTGAGTTGGAGGGATTATTTATAGCCAGGTGGGTGCTCTGGGTACGAGCTGGAGGCTGACCAGGAAGAGACGAAGGGGATTTTCCGAACTCCTACCTTGGTAAAAAATGAAATAAATTAAAGATATTCTCTCTCTTTCTTCCTCTTTTTTAGACAATCAACACCAACGCCTGTGATTTATTTATTTTTCAAAAAAATTAAGAGTGCAGAGATTATAGCATTTTCCCCTTCGAATCTTCATGCTTACGATTTATCATGGAAATATGTCATTTTTTTTTTGTTATAACTCTCGGTAAATCAGCTGAATATTTGTTTAGTCGCTTTGTTGTTAGTTGGAGTTTCAACTCACCAAAAAAATTCTGATCAGTTTACTTTAGTCCATTGCTCGAAATAATTACTGTGTTGTGAGATAATGAGAATAATTTGACATTATCAGAGTTAGATTATATGTTAACGATAATTAAAAAAACCCAAAGCACCAAATAATAATATGATAATTTCCCTCTTGGAGGCCACTTGAAATAATTAGTAGATTTGTTAATAATTTAGTTGACTCAATAAAATTTCAGAAAAAAAAAGGCCTGTAGTAAAAAAATCGGCTAATGCCATCCACCTTGTAGAGTAGTGTCAAACGATCATGGCTCATATACTTTGAAGATTAAACCCGTTGACGATTTAGATGTCAGCCCGGTGTGCCTTCTCTTCCGAGAGGCTGTGGAAGATGTAATCTCCGCGTGGACAAAAAGAAGAGTCAGCGGCACGAGGGAACGATTCTGACTTTGATGAGTCTGCCCGCTCCACGGTTTACGAGACTGCGCCTGTAACTTAGGAGATACGTCGCCGTTGACCTGGCCCCCCGCCAACCGCCACTTACCGCGGTGTGCCGGTGGAAACTCAACGGGAGAAGAGGGCGGCAAAATCCTCTTCTACCTTCCCGGAGGAGGTCGCTGCAGAAGATCTTGCTTTCAGCTTACGTGACTCAACTGGGGACTACCGTCGTCATTCTCATCTTCTGCCGTCCTCGTTAGCGCTGGTGTCTCCCTTCTCCGGTGTCCACAGTTGGCTAGTCGCCGATAGCCATCATGTCCCTCTTCCTCTTCCTCCTCTACTCTCTCTCTCTCTCCCTCTTTCTAGAAACAAAGAGGCCTGAAGATTCCTCATTGAGTGGTAGGGTACAAGAGACGGGGATATCTACTGGATTTGGGGAAAAGTCCGAGAACTGATTTCGAGCCGATCAATACTAAATTGACAGTCGCAGAGAGAGAGAGAGCTAGTCAACAATCGTTCGGAGACCGTAATCCTGACGCAACTTTGAGAACGTCGTCCCAGGAGAACTGTGAGAAAAAGAAAAAGGCTTTTGGATACTGCCATCCCGTCATTCTCATTGATGATGGAAGGAGACAAACCCCTTCCTATTTCCACGTTGTTTTGGAAACAATGAACCTGCCACACGCCAAATCCCAGGACATCGCCGGGGAGAAATGGTCCGCTATCCACTCTCTCCCTCTCTCTTTCTCTCACTGTCTGTAGCAACCAGTGGTGGCGAATCGCAATGCTTTCACAACACAGCCCGAGAACACATCCGAAGACTTCGGTTTGGCTTCACTAGAATAGCCCTCTAGGGTGAACCGTTGACTGTGGATCTCGCACATATCATCCCATCAGCGAGAAATCCTATGTATTTTCAGCAAAATAGTCCATCCCGTATCATCTTGGTCCTCGGATTCTTGTCGGAGGATGTTTTCCAAAGGTTGGAAAAGCTGTCGCCAGGTTAAAGAACTGGCAGCAGGTAAATTGGAGGACGTGCTACCCGCCCACATATTTCACCGGCTATTGACGTAATTATCTAAAAAATCGGAGATTATGCGGCGAGAGGCGCCATTCTGAAGTAACGTTGGGCTCCTGGAACTGAAGGTTAATAGGCTATGGTTTAGACTAGGTTCATTTGCTTCAATTGTATGAATACACATACATATTTCGAGGAGGGGAGAGGGATCGTACTGTTTACTGTGTAGATAGGTATACTCGTTAGAGAGAGCGAACCAGAGAGAGCGAGAGCGAGCGAGCGAGAGAGAGAGAGAGAGAGAGAGAGAGAGAGAGAGAGAGAGAGAGAGAGAGAGAGAGAGAGAGAGAGAGAGAGAGAGAGAGAGAGAGAGAGAGAGAGAGAGAGAGAGAGAGAGAGAGAGAGAGAGAGAGAGAGAGAGAGAGAGAGAGAGAGAGAGAGAGAGAGAGAGAGGAGAGGAGAGAGAGAGAGAGAGAGAGAGAGAGAGAGAGGGAGAGAGAGAGGAGAGAGAGGAGAGAGAGAGAGAGAGAGAGAGAGAGAGAGAGAGAGAGAGAGAGAGAGAGAGAGAGAGAGAGAGAGAGAGAGAGAGAGAGAGAGAGAGAGAGAGAGGAGAGAGAGAGAGAGGGAGAGAGAGAGAGAGGAGAGAGAGAGAGAGAGAGAGAGAGAGAGAGAGAGAGGAGAGAGAGAGAGAGGAGAGAGAGCGAGAGAGAGAGCGAGAGAGAGAGAGAGAAGAGAGAGAGAGAGGGAGAGAGGGAGAGAGGGAGAGAGAGTCCTCTTAAACCTTTGATAACATGGTTGTGAACACTGCCCTGGTCCACAAGAAGTTAATTAGACAAGTTTAGAGAATGGGCACATGTCTTTTAATTTTATCTTAATATTTCTTGTCTAATATGGTTATTATGTCGATGGGTCTGGTCGGATCTCATGACGGCCGTATAAATAACCCTGACTTGTCTCGCAAGCCCATGATAGAACCTGAATACACGCCACCATGCGAAATGATCGAGACCCACTTCGAGCCGTGTCTATAAGTCACAGTCATAAACTGACATTATCTAGCTTCCGAAGAAATTGAGTGCCATCGTGACGGTCGAATTGGCCATTTTATTGCAATACTAAATGATTCGCTAGATTTGTAATTGGAGCTTCTCCGAGATGACGGTTGCAGGTGAACAGCGATGCAATTTTTTCTTACGAAGCTTCCGAGCTTGGAAAAGATCAGGTCCCGAACTATCGAGTTTATTTATTAATCAACCGAGAGAGAGAGAGAGAGAGAGAGAGAGAGAGAGAGAGAGAGAGATTCTACTATAATTTAGACGGCGGCAGTCATACGTTGTGGACAATCAGGTAGAAACAGTCTATGACAGGTGTCATCGACTCCCTTCGTCTTGGGATGAACCACCCCCTATGTATTCTTCCTTGCGTCTGTCTGCTTCTCAATTGCTATAATCATCCCGACCATCCCTTCCTTCTTCACACGTCTCCCTCTTTATATCGGAAACAGCAGCCTCAAATCTCTCCCTCTCTCCCCCCCCCCCCTCTCTCTCTCTCTCTCTCTCTATCAGTTGAGAGTGGCATGGGGTGCAGGCTTTCCGTCGGGACGGGGGGCAACTTCGACGGGGTCCGGGTCGTGCACATCAGCGGCTACGTTCAGGATTTCTCCGGGCCGGTGACGGTGAGGGAGGTCATTGGAAAACGGTCTAAGCTGGTGTGCTTCTCCCCGTCTCAGCTCCTCTCCCAGAGCGCTCGCCCCCACGGCCTCGACGAGCAGCTCGAGCCCGGCAAGCTCTACTTTCTCCTCCCCCACACGGTCTTCCACTCCGGCGCCTCCGCCATCGACCTCGCCACGCTCGCGACCCGGCTCACTGCGGTGGCCCGCGGCGGCGTGGTGGTCACTCGGAAGCTCTCCTCCTCTGGCGACGGCGACGGCGACGGCGACGGCGACGGCGACGGTGAGGTCGATCGGATTTCCGTCGAGGCCACGGCAGAACCGGCGGCCGCCGAGCGGTACGCGTTCCTGCTCGGGAGGGCGCAGTCGGGGGCCTGGCCATGGAGGCCGTCCCTGGACACGATCGAGGAGAGATCGACGGAGCGGTCAGCGAGGAGTCTGAGCAGCCGGAGCAGCAGCAGCAGCAAGGAACTGCCGCGTTGGGTGGGATCAGGATTAGGGGGCAAACTTGATCTCAGAAACGTGAGGCGATTGTAGCTTCGATCTTCCATTTTTATTTATTTTCTTCGCCATCCCTCTCTGGAGATGAACGAATCGGTCGTTGGAAATGCGTGCCATTGTGGATCTGTGGACCGGCGATCTGTTCCCGGCTGATAGAACCCCCGCCTGCTCCCTCGATCAACGAAAAGGAATCTCGCGATATCACTACTCTGATCTCTGTCGATCTTAGAAGGGTAGGACGATTGTAGCTTCGATCTTCGGTTTTTATTTCTTTTCTCCGCCATTCTTCTCTGGAGATGAACGAATCGGTCGTTGGAAATGCGTGTCATTGTGGATCTGTTGACTAGGAATCGGTTCCCGGCTGATAGAATCCCTACCTGTTCCCTGGATGGACGAAGAGGAATCTCGCGATATCACTACTCTGATCACTGTCGATCTTAGAAAGGTAAGACGATTATAGCTTCGATCTTCCATTTTTATTCATTTTCTCCGCCATTCTTGTCTGGAGACGAACGAATTAGTCTTTGAAAATGCGTGGCTTTTTGAATCTATTGAGTGACAATCTGTTCCCGGCTGATAGGACCCCACGCCTGCTCCCTCGATCAACGAAGAGGACTCTCGCGATATCACTCCTCTCATCACTGTCGAGCTTAGAAAGGCAGGGCGATTGTAGCTTCGTTCTTTCATTTTATTTATTGTCTCCACCATTTTTTCTCAGGAGATGGACGAATAAGTCGTTGGAAAATGCGTGTTTTTGTAGAACTGTTGACTGACGATATATTCCCGGCTGATAAGACCCCACCCCCGCTCCCTCGATCAACGAAGAGGACTCTCGCGATATCAGTTCTCTCGTCATTGTCGAGCTTCGACAAGTAGGACAAGCTCGAGCTTAGAAAGGCAAAGCGACGGTAGTTTCGTTCTTCCATTTTTATTCATTTTCTCCGCCATTCTTTCTAAGGAGAAGAACAGATAAGTCGTTGGGCATGCTTGTTTTTTTGTCGGTCTGTTGACTGACTTCTGTTCCCGTCTGATTGAACTCCAAGCCTGGTCCCTTGATCAAAGAAAAGGAGTCTCGCGATATCAGTTCTCTCATCACCGTCGATCGCGGTCCGGTTGTTTCATGATAGTTATGTTCCAGGCCATGCTTACTTGTCATTTTGCCACGGGGGGCTAATCACTTTTTATAATATCATTACCCAGATTTCTTCTTTACATGACGTGGGGTTGGATGGGCAGCTGACACCGAATCCATTAAATATAACGAAAGAGACAAGACCCGAGTTCAATGCCTAGCAGGTTTGGTGCCTTGCCAGATGGTTACTATGTCTCATGGAATCCCCTAGTCTACCCTTCTCTCTGTGCTTGATCACGGATTTAGGGGGCCAATATGATCAATTATTTCGTTTTAACCTTGGTTTTGGTTAGTCTAAAGCGATGCAACGCCTATTCACTACGGTTTTCTTTGTTCTCATCCGCTCTAATCCAGAGGAGAACCAAAGACGGTGGAGGAGAGACGGAGAAGCTTCCTCTTCTTCATAGCAGTGGGGCTATGAAGAAGAGCTGGAGGTTCTTATCGGTTTTGGGTGTAGGGATGTTTGGTGAAGGAGGTGACTCAGGAGTTGGTGAAGGGCTGCTGGCTCGACCACACCATGGACAGAGACATCGGCGGGATGACGGACTAGAACAACCATTACGTACGGTTCCTACCCGCTCCGTCGCAAACTTCTAGAGGAAGAAGCTGGTGAAGATGAGGAGGCGCCGGAAGAAGAAGAAGAAGAGGACTGGTAAGGGGTAGGGTCCTTTTACGATGCCATGCGATCCGATGGGGACGTTGACTGGTTTCATGTCTCGCATAGTCTGGAAGAAGGTTCGGCAGAAAATATAAGATTATGAGTCCTTACAGGGGCTTCCAACGTGAGTTTACGGAGAAACAGCTTATTTTATGGGACGAAAGAATCGGGCTAATAGGACGCTCCTGATCCTGACTCACAACGACGCTCAAATTCGATTACCGGGCAAAAGAATTCGCTTACATCGACCAGAGCGTCAGTTTAAAATCGCTTAATCCAAGTCTAAGATTCTAAAACTTGTTCGAGTGATGAAACCGGTTCTTTGCAAGACGAAATACCAAAATTGCGACAACATGGAATGAAATTGACATGAACTTGTGGTATGAAATGCGAGGAAGTAAACGGGAGACGAACGAGGGCGGCGGATACTTGATAAACTTCCCCTCGCTGGGTTTGTGATTCTGCCAGTCGAGTGCCATAGAGCTTACGGACATATTAAATCTGTGTATTCATTTATTTCTAAAACAACATCAATTTAGGCTTAGGATGTTCCTCGTCATCAGAACACGTCGTCTATTCATCGAATGCAATATATTTCTCCCTGATGTCTCGATTTCTCGAGAAGGAATGGGCTTTTTGCTCATCCGATTCGTCTTCTGCCTTCTCAAGAGCTCGGCATTCAGACGATGCCGTCATACATAGAACATGCAGTGATATCGTCCAACCGTGCGTCTACTCTCCAGAGGAACACCAAATCAGTCAATTACCCAGGTTAAGTCCGGATCTTATATGGTCCAGAAACACAGAACGATGGATAGATAGATATATATATCTATATATATACATAGAGAGAGAGAGAGAGAGAGAGAGAGAGAGAGAGAGAGAGAGAGAGAGAGAGAGAGAGAGAGAGAGCAAGAGCTAGAGAGAGTGCAAGGCAGAGCGAGAGAGAGCGAGAGAGAGAGAGAGAGAGAGCTGCATGCCAAGGCGCGGACTCCCGGGAAAAATGGGGGGAGCCGAAGGACCTGCGGGAGAGGAGGCGTCCGTCCTGAAAACCGGGAAGCGGTTTTTGTTCTCTTCCGGTTATCTTTAATCGCCGGCGCAGCGCACAGTCGACTGACCGCTTGGACGGTCGAATTGATCACGTGGTCAGGCGGGACCCACCAACGGATCCCACGCGCCAGCGGGGCCACGCACGTGGCGATGGTTGACTACATTGCTATGCGACGGAGGGTGGTCTTCCTCTTTTTTTTTGCAAGCGACATTGTTTTGAAAATAGATCTATTTTTGTTGATAACTACGTAAATACCATGTTTCTTTCAAAGCGACAGTGCACCGTGAATAGGGATCGTTTGGTGAATGCACTGTAGACACGGGGAGAGAATCTGGCATCTTCTGAAGGACGACCCTAAAAATGTTCGGACGTGTGAAAGACTGCCTTCGTCTCTCTCTCTCCCTCTCTCTGAGAACTTTCAGCTTAAATCCCGATCCTCCAAGAAGGATCCATAGCCTCTGCACAATCATTTTCCATCTCCATCGACACTTTCGGGGCTTCACCTTTCCTGGAGCCGCCTCGCAGCACGACAAGCCTCGTCAAAGGAGCTCAGTGGGGTTTCCTCTCCGCCAAACTACGATCCCACAGCGTCAGGTCCAAGATGTGAGGGCTTTATCTCCTCATCCCCAGTTACCTAGCTTCATGCAGATGACGACCCACGAGGGTTTTTTCCATTTTTCTTCTGTTTTCTTCCCTCCTTTTCCTGGTTAATACGTACCTTGTAGATCGTGGACGCTCGGCAGCTCCTTGTTTGTCTCTCTTCCAAAGGACAGCTCTTGCTCATGAACCGTGCTGATCGATGCTCGGCAGCTCCTTGTTTTTCTTCTGTATGAGGTGTTGGTTGAAGTCTCTGATAAGAGCTCACTTTCTTCGAATCCAAGCCCTCTAGAGCTCTCAGTACTCCATACTGAAGGTTCAAATGAATTCCAAGTTGACGACGGGAGGAGCGAGTGAAGGGGAGACTCATTCTCTTCCCCCCGGTTTTAGATTTCACCCGACTGATGAAGAGCTCCTCTTGCATTACCTTGTCCACAAGGTCTCCGACAGTGGTTTCACAGGAAGAGCCATCGCCGACGTCGACCTCAACAGATGCGAACCATGGGATCTACCAGGTACCGCCTCAGAAGCTGTTTCTTAATTTGTTTAGATCTACCTGCATGTCGGCGCCCGAGGAAAAATAATCCCACTATGTTTCCCTGTATGTTGGTTCCCGAGGATCATAACCTCGGCAAGAGAAACTGTCAGAATTTTTCACAAGATTTGGGTAGCGTTACTAGGTTTCTTGGACTCATCCCGTATCTCTCGTGTTCTCCGATGTAAAACGATGACTTCGAAGCGGCTGGATTTGTGGTCTTAACGAAGGTGTTGTCAATGGACAGGGAAGGCAAAGATGGGGGAGAAGGAGTGGTACTTCTTCAGCCTGCAGGACAGGAAGTACCCCACCGGTGTTCGGAGGAACAGGGCGACTGAGGCCGGGTACTGGAAGACCACCGGCAAGGACAAGGAGATATTTAGCGGCGCCACATCGCTGGAGCTCGTCGGAATGAAGAAGACGCTCGTCTTCTACAAGGGGAGGGCTCCTCGCGGGGAGAAGACAAACTGGGTCATGCACGAGTACCGCCTACTGCCCAAATCTACCTCCAAGAATAGAAATGTCAGTGGAAATCTTACACTTTTTCCCTCTAATACCTAGATTAATGTAGTTGAGCCAACATGCTTCCTCCCCCTCCTCTCTCTCTCTCTCTCTCTCTCTCTCTCTCCCCACCCCTCCCTCCCCCCGCAGACCTGGCCTCAGAGGCGTTCCACATGCATGCATGAGCCCTACGATTAGCCCCTGGATCATTTTGCTTCCACATAAAGACGAGTAATGAACAGCGATGAATGATGTTAAATTCCCCCGTTTCGAATTCTCATCTCCTGGATATAAAATGAATAAATATTACAGGATGAACACAACGCCACACGGAAGTCATCTTCATTCCGTGTACAAGTAGTAATGACCGGAGGCTCCCCTTGGTTTCTGCAGGATGAATGGGTAGTCTGTCGACTCTTCAAGAAGAGGTCGGAGGTGAAGAAGTCTCCCACGAACCAGTCGCGCCTCGGGATGACAGCACACGCCATGTCTCTGGGGACAAAGGGCGACCAACTCCTCCACCACAACATCGGCGGCATCGGCTGGACTTACGCTGATCTCGTGGGGTTGACGACGGGGCTCTGCGGGGGCTCCTCCATGGACTGCCTCTCCCGTTCTCAGTGGAGCTATGCGGCCACGACGGCGGCGCTTCTGCCGGCGCCTAGCGCGGCGCAACACGTCCCGCGTTTACCCACGGCGCTTCCTCAGCTGCATGTTGTCGGCGGCACGCCGCGTCCTGCAGGGCTCACCGATATCAATGCGGATGACGGCCGGGTCAGGTTTCAGCAGATCCAGCATTGCGTTGACCTGGACGGCTACTGGATGTCGGGTTGACTCCAGAGGGAATCGCCCTCATGGAGATTTTTCGTATATTGTTCACGTGGATTACTGTCTTAGTTTGCTTGAGCTCGGTAAGTATGGTGCGAGAAGATTAATGATCCGAGTATACCAATAAATGATGGTAAATTAGATGGAAATTTTTCCTATTTTGTTTACGCAGATTGCTGTGTTAGTTTTCTTGAGCTCAGTAAGTGTAGTGTGAGAAAATTAATAATTTAGAGATATTAGTGACTGACAGTAAATTAGATGTCACTTGTGTAATGGAACATGTGAATTTCTTGCTTACACGTTTCCCAGTAGGCAAAAAATTGTCAACATTTTCATCAAAATTTGACTTTCATTACTCGTAATGTTCATTGATTGTCGTTGGTTTAGGGTTTTATTGATAAGAAAAGATATTGATGAATAGGATCTACTTGATTCGCTCTTAAACTATCTTTCATTGTCCTATTTATACAAATATGCTAACATTCAAATACAGATTTAATACACGAGTAAATCTAAATTAAATTTATGTTCATGGTAATTGTCCTTGTACCTGGTTTGGACCCATAAAGTAACAACATTATACCGATATGGTGATAATCATTCATCTCTTATAAGATTGCAATGGACCATTTACTAGTGCGTAACACTATTATTTGGAAGCAAGAGGCGTAATTGTCTGGTGTCATGTGCAACATTATAGACATGATAAGTCAATTAGACTATCACTTGCATCTACCTAAGTGATAAACATTCTAGATTTCAGTTTTGAAACGATATGTGGGCAGCAAGGAGGATCTATTAGATAATTGATGAAAATGTATCACATCATTAATCGGTGCGTAATATAGCAACGTAGTAGAGAGCAAAAGTGGAAAAAATACTCAATGGATGACATGACATGTGAGTATTATGCACATTTTTGGTGATTCAAAGACCTTTTGTACCTAGGTAACGACTTCAATGCTCACCCTCCGATCAAGTGGATATGATATATCGAAATGGAGAGGATGTGGGATGATTAACAAATTACACTCTATGAATTTGTGGGTGTGCACAACGCCCAAGACATAAGAAATTTGCTAGAAGAGGTTTACCACTACTTCCGAGCGGGTGCACATGCTGGAAGTGGAGAAAGATAATGCTTGCGAGCTTGTATCTCTCCTGCAACGCGAGGTTGTGGTGGTAGATCATCATCCATCTCGAGCAAGATTCAACGTAAATCTATGAGATAATACATCCATATCAATTTTCTATTTCTGCCATACCCTTCAGTACATATTGACTCTATGTAATAACATATTTATTGGAGACTAAATTTTTCAGACTAAATGGGTGCGAAATTCAGAGAGAGGTAGGCCACTCAAAGATCAGAGAGAGATTTTAGATGAACAAGGAACATACAGATACCATAGTCAGGGTAGATTATGATGGATGTTGTGGCTAGTGTGAGAGGTTTGTATGGATTGCGAGCTTGAGATGATGATGATGATGGCTCCAGTGAAAGAATTTTCCCCGGAGACCAAGTAGGATCGTCAGCCAGCTTCGCCGCCATCTGGGTGGGTGCGGCTTCCAGGGCCGGGCTCTGATCTGGTTTCCAAGGTCAAGCGTTCTATTCCGGGCGCATCTGGGTCAACCCCAATCTGGCCCGGTCAGAACCCGGCTCCAGGGAGAGTCATTAATCAAGAACAGCGCAGATCCCACTGTTCACATAATCCGATCAATTCCACAGGAGATGATCTGCCCAGTTCCTCCTACTTCTCCTCGGGGTGAACACCGCCCGTAGGACAACCAAACGGAGGAGAGAGAGAGAGAGAGAGAGAGAGAGAGAGAGAGAGAGAGAGAGAGAGAGAGAGAGAGAGAGAGAGAGAGAGAGAGAGAGAGAGAGAGAGAACAGGAGAGAGGGAGAGCAGTAGAGAGAGAGAGAACAGAAGAGCGAGAGAGAGAGAGAGAGAGAGAAGACTTTAGAGCCGGGTGGGAAGCGGATTCGGGCAGGCGCTTTTGCTTTTGTCTTCCCTTTCCTCGTTCCCAGCAGGCCCCGCCACTTTATTCTCCCCCTCGAGAAATCGGGACAATTTTTTTTATAAAACGAGTAATTAGTAATTAAAATATGATCAGTGCAATTTATTATTTTTATTAGTTACCGTGATTCGTGCGAAGACGGGGAATCTTTCGACGGGCGAGATCGGATCTCCACCGTTGACGGGGCCCCGATTTTTGAAAAAAAAACCCGCAGTCCGTCCGTTGTTAACGTTGGAATTAGTTTCCCGGGAGGGACACGAGACAGCTGGGCCCCAGGAGGCCAGCCAATATAGCCGTCCGATCGATGGGTTTCGAAGGATCCCACGGTCAGAATGGTGCATCGTCACTCCGGAGCCGTCATCTGGGAAGAGAGAAGCAGGGTATTTCGTGTAAAATAGTAAATTTACAGGGGTAATATATGGAGCATAACCCCCCTCTCTCCGATTCCTCTGCCCCACCACCACCACCCGGCTGCTGGTTCTGAGCGCCTTTGTTCCCTTCTTGCTGGGATTCTACCTTTAACCCAGTTGACCGTTGGTTCTCTCTCTCTCTCTCTCTCTCTCTCTCTCTCTCTCTCTCTCTCTCACTACTGTCTGTCGTTCTACGCTGTTCTTCCCGCCGGCGGAGGCGCAGGTGGGTTTCTTTAATCTCGCCTTGTTCGTGACGGAAATGGGCGTCGTTCTCTGCGTTCGGGTTCCTTCGGTTCGAAGCTTTTCATCTTCCCCTTCGTTCTTCTTCTTCTTCTGTGTTGGTCCAACCAAATCTCTTCCCGAGCGCGTCTGCCTCCGGCGAAATCTCCGCCTGCGCAGATGGTTCTTCCCATCTTCCGCTCTCTTCGTGGGGAACTTCCGTTGGGTGAGATTATTACATCCGCTGAGCCGCGTTTCAGAGGTAAATGTGGGGGATGCATTCTTCGATTCGGGTTTGTTCCTCTCTGCTCATCTTCTGCTGGGTAGCAGCTCTCTCGTCGGATTTCGATCTCTTCTCGGGGAAATAATGGAGGAAGAAAATGGCTCGCATCACGAACATAGAACATGCTTTGAATCCCGCCCAAGATTTTTTGAGCCCGAAAATCATGAAAATCATGTGCAACGGCAGATTTTTCTTTCTTTGATTCTTGGGTTTCTTGAGCGAGAAAATCATCCGATCGACCCCTAAAATCATTTTTTTCCTTCAGAAACGGCTCATTTGGCTGATATTTTGTTTATTCTCTGCAGCATCTGCATCATCGTCCCCTCCGATTAGAAGAGCATCAAGTCCCAGAGACCCTCCTACAGAAGCTAAACCCCTTTTCTTCTCCCGGTAAGTATCATCCTCTCCCAAGCGTTCCCTCGGTGAACTTGGGAAGGAAGTGAAGAACCTCCAGTCCGGCCCATCGAGACTTCCTCCCGGTGGGATCAATGGCGTTTTTTTGTCTGGTCTTCCTCTTTCCTTGCTTCTGAAGCCATCATCTCCACCCCCACCCCCCTCTCTCTCTGTCTCTGTCTCTCTGATATCTGCGGCGGCGCAGGAGAGGGAACCTTATGAATTTTTGGAGCTCCGCCGCCGCCGTTCCCGAAGAGTACGCCGGAAGATAAGACGGTTCGGAGATGGGATGCTCGGCTTCGAAGCTGGAGGACGAAGAGGCCGTCAAGCTCTGCAGAGAGAGAAGGAATTTCGTCAAACAGGCGGTGGAGCAACGAACAAGGTTCGCCGCCGGCCACCGCGCCTACATTCAATCCCTCCGGCAGGTTTCCGACGCTCTCCGAGGCTATGTCGAGAGAGATGACCACCACCATGATTTCTTCTCGGACTCCTGCTCGACCCCGCCGTTCACCCCCGTGAAGAGATTGAGCTCCTCCCCGGAGATCATCGGGATCCCCTGCAAGTCCTTCACTCCGGCCATGGAAGCAACTCACGAGAGCAGCAGGAAGATGATCCACTGCTTGCGGGCCGGTGGCAACCCGGCGGCGGTCATGGTGGAGGAGAGGCCGCCGTCGCCGGAGACGGCAAGGGTCAGCACCCACTACTACCCTTCGGAGCACTACAGCATCGACGGGTTCTTCTCCATGCAGTCGCCTCCCATGGCGACGGGCTCGTCCTTCTTCTCCTCTGCGTCTCCTCCTCGCAGGACGAGCATCCCACCGCCATCACCGCAGAATCCTCAGTGGGATTTCTTCTGGAACCCGTTCTCCTCCTTGGACACGTACGGGTATGCTTCTCAGAGCAGCCCCGAGAGGAGGACGATGATGGCAGCCGAAGAGGACGAGCTCGCGGGATTGAGGCAGATCCGGGAAGAAGAAGGGATTCCTGAGCTGGAGGAGGAGGAGCTTCCGAAACCAGTCAACTTCGACGAGAGGAGGAAGAAGGTCGTGGAGGCCGCCGTCGATCTCCCTGCAGAGCTCAACCAGGCGAGAGCAGTCGATCATTCTACCCCTGAAACGAAGCAGCAGGTGAGAGAATTTGAGTTCCATGCAGCCGATGGCGTCAAGGCGGCGGTTGCGGCGGCAGCGGCGGGGGTGGAGGCCGTCGGGGCCTGGCCGCCGGAGCTGGCGGAGGTGGAGGCGGCGGAGGAAACTCCTGGGTTTACAGTTTATCTGAACTGCAGGCCGACGAGCATGGCGGAGGTGATGAGGGACATCGAACACCAGTTCATCAGGATCCATGATTCCGCTCGCGAGGTCGCGCTGATGCTGGAAGTGGGCAAGGCCCAGCGATCGAGCTCAAATGAGCTCACGGGTACGAGAAGAGATCGATCATCATACACCATGAAGCTCGATTGATTGATTTTATTCCATCTCTGATCATCGGTTTCTTCGTCTTCTTCCTCCTCCCCTCCCTGACTGGGTTGTAGCCGCGAAGATGTTGAATCCAGTCGCCTTGTTTCGCTCTGCGTCGTTCAGGTCGTCGTCGTCGTTGCCCTCGAGGTTTCTTCCGGCCTCGTCGGCCGCCAGGGACGACGGCGGCGACGACTCCGGCAGCGATGTCTCAGACGAGTCCTGCATGATATCTGGCAGCCATCAGTCCACCCTGGAGAGGTTATTCGCCTGGGAGAAGAAGCTCTACGAGGAGGTCAAGGTAATCAATCAATCAATTAACTAACGATCGTGGTTCAACTTCGATGATGGATCTGGAAAGAACCCCACCTGGATTCCGTGTCCTTTGGCAGTCCGGAGAGCGAGTTCGGATGGCGTATGAGAGGAAACGCATGCAGCTGAGGAAGCAGGACATTAATGGCGAGGACCCTTCCGTGGTGGACAGGACCAGGATAGCGGTCAGGGATCTGCAGACCCAGTTGAAGGTTTCCATTCACTCCGTGGAAGCGATCTCGAAGCGAATCGAGAAGCTCCGGGACGAGGAGCTCTGCCCCCAGCTCCTGGAGCTCATTCAAGGGTACTCCTGCTCCTCCTCCTGAATGATTTCTTGCTATCTTGTTAAAATTGTTCGGAGAAGACGACTGCTTTTTGTTTACTGGTGGTTTGATTTGATTGTTGCAGGATGAGCAGGATGTGGCGGACGGTGGCGGACTGCCACCAGATCCAGAAGGCCGCCATCGATGGGGCGAAGCACCTCCTCGCCACGGCGCCGAAGCTGGCGGCGGCGCCGCCGCCGCTGTCGCGGCCGGCGGCGAGGCTGGAGGCGGAGCTCCGGAACTGGCGGTCGTGTCTCAGGGTCTGGGTCGACGCGCAGGGATGCTACGTCAGGTCGCTCGCCGGGTGGCTTCTCCGCTGCGCCCGCTCGCCGGAGGAGGAGGACGATGCCCAGATGGAGGGGAGGTCGCCTCTGTCGCCGCCGCGATCTAGCGGCGCGCCGCCGGTGTTCGGGCTCTGCATGAAGTGGTCGAAGGCGCTGGACGGAGTCAGCGAGGAGAGGGCCCTGGAGGGGCTGGACTTCTTCGCGTCGGGGATCTATACGGTGGCAGGGCAGCAAAGGGAGGCAGCGGCGGAGGCGGCGAGGCGACGGAGGGATACGGCGGCGCCACCGGCTGAGGAGGAGGAAGAACCAGAGGTGGGGCGATGGTCGGCGCCGGAGAAGATGGCGGAGCTCGCCGTGAGGGTCCTCTTCGCCGGGATGTCGGTCGCCGTCTCGGCCCTGGCGGAGTTCGCCGCCGCCTCGCGGGACGCCTACGAGGAACTGCAGCGCCGGTTTCCAGTCGCCGCCGCGGGCGGAGGGGCGGCCACGTAGTTTCTTCACCCGATTCTAGCGACAGCCGCTGAAAAAGGCAGCTGAAGTATGTAATTAACGGCTTCCTTCCTTCCCTCCTTCGGGTATTTATTTAAATCCTAATAAATATGGAATTTCCCATCTCTCTCTCCCTCTCTCTCTCTCACTATATCTATCTAATCTATCTAGATCTCTCTCTCTCTCTCTCTCTCTCTCTCTCTCTCCCCATGAATCGGAGGAATCGGCAAAATTAATGCGTATATAAAAGTTTGTATGTTATCCTGGCGAAAAAGATCCAATTTTGTGAGATAAAACCATGAAAGAATCACGTACATGGATGGATGGATGGATGGAGAAGATGAGATCTGGTGCTAGTCAGTAGCTAGCGACAGGTTGAGCTGCATGTCGGGGCGCCGATCGCCGACGGCGGCGAACTCCTGCGGTATGGGAACGCCCAACTCTGAGCAGACCAGCCGCACGATGCTCCTGGTCACGCCGCCCAGGGACATCTTGTTCACCGTCACGGCGATGGCGAAGTCGTGGGCGACGTCGCAGAAGCCGGTAGAGCCGCCCATGCCGGAGTGACCGAACGCCGCCTCCTCCTCGCTGCCGGCCGCTTCAAATCGCCCGAACCCGAGCCCGAACTTCCCGCCGGCGAGGGTCAGATAGGAGTAGTCGCCCACACCCTGGAAGGCGTCAAGGATTTTCGGGTTGCAGAACATCTTCCTGCTGCCCTCCTCTTCCGGTAAATCGCTGCCGTTCACGGCGGAGCTGCGGTGGTGGCCGTTGGAGCTCGCGCCGTTCTGCTCCGCCGGCTCCTTCCCCTTGCTGCTGTCGCTGTGGCGTTTCTTCTTCGGCTTCTTCTCCGAGGGGAAGGTGGGGAGGTGGGGGTGGCTCCCGAGGAGCGGCAGAGAGCTCGCCGAATGCGGCGGCGGAACCGTGCCGCCGGCGGCGAGCGCGGCGTAGTAGCGCGCCAGCGCGCGAGCCGAGCAGTGCCCGCTGCTGGCGGGGATGACTGCGCGGCGCACGTTGAGCGCATTGAAGAGAACGGGAAGCCCCGCCACCATCTCCTCCAGGTTCTGCTCCCTCAGAGACGCCGGAACCTCCGTCGCGCTGCCGATCGCCGAGAGACTCGCGATGTCGTCCTGGTCGATGGTCAGCGTTGCCAGCCGAGCCTCCACTCCTGCCAGTGGAAATCACACAGACCCATCAGCGGCGGAGGGACCATCTCGCCAGAGGATATCTGAGACAAGCTACCAACCTGGAGGTATGCCGATATACAGTTCGCCATGGAGACCGAGGGGCTGGACGATCGCCTCCTCCAGAACATCCTGAAACCTCCTCCCCGATGAATGCTGCTCCATCCATGGAAGATCACAATCAGAGCAACACGACCATGAAATCAAAACCCAAATAATCAATTTTCAGGTCATCCAAGTAAAATACTTGGCTCGCAGAGAAAGATGTACCTCTATGATTCCGCCGCACAGCCAGCCGAAGGAGAGGTAGTGGTACTGCTGCTCGGAGCCGGGGGGGCTCTCGGGGGCCGCCGCCGCCATCTGCTTCAGTGACTCCTCCCAATCGCACATTAGAAGAGGAGACTCTCTGATGGCGCTGCCCATCGCATTGGCCAAGCCCGAGGTGTGATTGAGCACATGGTGGACCTGGAGGAAGGGGAAGGGGAAGGGGAAGGGGAAGGGGAAGGGGAAGCTCTCTCTGTGAGAAGGGGGCTTCGACTCTGTGCTACTGCAATTAATGGCGGCATCTCACCTTTATCTGATCTTTAGAGTTCGCCCCAAAGCCTGGCCAGATATTTGCAACAGCTTCATCGTAGCTTAATTTCCTGCAGCAGCAAATCATCAGGGAGATGAGACCGACACCGCACAAGAGAACAGCACTCTGCCACCTTCATCTGCTTCCTTGGAAACAGACTAATCTTACCCTCTGTCAGCCAGCCAATGCACCAGTCCCGCAGTGAGCCCTTTTGTGACAGAAAATACAGGAAACAAGCTGTCGAGTTCAACTGGCCTGGGATCATATCTGCCAAGCACACCAGCTGCAGTGTCTATGATCACCTTTCCATCCTTGTACGCGCAAACCTGAGAGACAACAGTGCATAAGAGTGCATAAGCCACTCTTAAGTATCTGACAGAAGTGGAGGGTCAAGCGGGAGAAGAGATGGGGAGATCCCGTCGCCATGATCAATCACCAGTGAGGAGATAGTGGTATGCCTAGTCTCTGTTTTTGAGAATGGGGGGATTTATCTTCTATTCTTTAACATGCGCATCAAGAATCTGCATCCAATGTTCTTGGAGAGCGGGAGGAAGAAGATGAACACAAGGAACTTCAGAACTTTGCTGCATTACCTGGACGCCGAGCACCTTGTCTTTCCCGATTTCGACCAGTAGTTTCCTCAGTTTGGCCTCCACGTCGGAGTGCACGGGAGAGCCATTGATCCACTGAGTGTCACTCAGAGACTCGGGCCCGATCAATCTGGTTCAGGAAATGAGTTAGATTGTGAAGTAAACAGCCTTTTTGGAGTTCAATCGGAAGATCTGCTCACCCCTTCATAGTGGACTCTGCAAAGGGCCTCATGATTTCCTGGTAGACTATCCTCACATTCAGCGAGGAGGAAAGCCCTGGAAGCTCGAGGACATTGCATAACAAGTTTATTAGCATGCTCATTTTCTGCTAATATAAACAGCATAAATATGTTCATTTGCTGCATACCTCGAAGAAGGTTTATGACCCGGAAAAATATGACGGCATCACCAGGAAATGCATCAACCTGCTCGTCAAGAACATCGCCTAAGTTTCAAATTTTCTTCGATTAAATAGGAAACGTAGCACGGTTAGCAGGCGATTTATCCTTACAGGATTAAAGCGAGCCATTTCCTTATTGCTGAGCTTCATCTTCTCCTGGATGGCCTTCATGTTCTTGGTTCTTTGATCGGCCAGGGCCTTCATGTTTTCCTGGGCGAGAAAGAGGAAACGAGCATAGTCAATGGGCGGGCCCCGATGGTACAATGGAAAGGCGAAGGGGGTGGGGGCATGGTTTGATTCCCGGTTTGTATGTACTCACAAGGGCTTCGTTTGCTGGGGTTGTGGTCCGGAAGACTACATTAGTGACGTCCATAGCCTGCTCCGGTATGTCCACCCGCAATTTTAGTCCCATCTCTGCAAAGGCTGAAAGTAGAGCCACATGATTCCCCTGTCATGGAAGACATCACGGTAGATTAGATGGGATCAGAGACATGTATCGCACAAGCCAAAAAACACCAAGTAAATGCATTTCCAATAATAATCAAAGTAGCGAGAATAATATCGTATTGATTGCTATAGAAATAAGCCTGTGGTTGTCAAGATGGGGCCTACGAGACCTGATTTTCAGATGATCAGCCAGAAAAATCTAACATATCATCAGAGGCGATAATCGCTCATGTTGAACTACCCCATTTATGCCGTCCATGTGACAGAGACCAAATTGGCTACCTTGCATTTATGCTAACAATAGTCTTCGATTGGGTAGGAATAATCCTGCATTGGTTACAATCGAAATTGATGTATACTTGATCGATTTTAATTTTGATGGTGGCCCAGCTAATATAATAACAGATACATTCAACATTCTACAGGAGGAACTATTGAACCACAATGGTGCAACTAGCAAGGAAACTTCCTTGCCAGAGGATCTTCCTCATTTAACCTTAACAAACTCCTCCCTTTGAACCAAATATGATCAGGAAAGTACGAACCTCTACTGAAGCCAGGAACATTTTGGCCAGCGCTTGTTTCATCGAGACAGAGATGGACTTTGTGAGTCCGAAATCAAGCAAAATTGGCCGATGTGGGGGTTCCTTGCTCACCAGAAAATTACCTACAGCAAGAGTGTAGATAAGATGAATGCCACATCAATACGATTCACCATATCCGAATGAAAAAGCTCTTGGGACAAATCAATATGATGCACTGGCTCGGGCTGCTGAGCCATATGAATTAAATAAAGGAACGGGTGTGTATACCAGGATGTGGATCGCCATTGAAAAAACCGTCCACATACAGCTGATGGGCATATGCACGGGTAATTTCTTCCACGAGCTTTTGTTTGTCAACGCCAAAAGCATTCATTGCTTCATAATCATTCATGCGGATACCGTCCATGTACTCAAGAATGAGGACCTTCTCAGTTGACTGCCATCAGCCACGAAAATGGCAGAGTCGACAAAGTCAGAAGAAGTCAACCCAAGGTCTATGGAGTTGTTTTTGAACAGATTGGATTTAAAGCTATGAACAACAAGGCACCTGAATAATGTCAGGAATCAGCACGTCCACGACATTATCACGAGCATCACTCCCCTGTTTCTTCTTGCAACGCAGGTTCTCTGAAACCCTTCTAGTATTATCTATAAAGTCACAAAAGCAGAAAATCAAAGATTTGTGTAAATAATGATAATCATGGCTAATTCTCTCAAGACAACAAGAAATGCCCCAACGATCTTCATTGAAATAATGAACCCTGTGGGGTGAAGTTTTAGCTAAGAAGGCACACCGGCTTCAATGTTGAAGTCCAGCTCCTTTGGTGCTTCCCTGCACCACTCGTCGATCAACGGATTGAAGTTATATTGCGGTTCAGCCCATGCTATCCAGTTGATTATCGCTTTTGCGTTCTTCAGGTCCTGCAGACAAACACCGGCCATGTAAGAATTTCTAGCTTTGGAGGAGAATTTCTTCGGGTTGTATCATATTTAGGCCATCAGGGACCTCTAGAATGACACGTTTGATGCCCTCGTGTTGAACTTTGACCACGACTTCCTGCCCATTTTTCAGCGTCGCACGATGGACCTGTGCAATCTACAACAAATAGGTTTGCACGAGGTAGATAGTCAAAAGAATTGCTGGTATCGTTGACATCAATATGAAAACAACGATGCATCAATACTCAATGAGACGAAGTCGCCACTTTCAGTTTTCAATTCAAAAAGGGTCAGCACTCACAGAAGCTGTGGCGAGAGGTTCATCGAAAAATTTGGAGAAGAGATCTTCCACTTTATTACCCAACTGTTCCTCTATTGTTCGTTTGACCTGAAGGAACAAAAGATCAATGAAATTTCTTGAAAATACATGCTCAGTATTCATTCAAGTGTCCAAAATTCGAAGTATCTTTTCCCTGAACAGGTAAGGTTTTCTTTGGGAGGAAACTGTTGATAATTTTTCCAAAAATCAGGTTTTCAGAGAAGAAAATCAACAAAAAAGTGCTGAAAATCATCTGAAGATCGCCTCCATGAGGATTCGGTGCGTCAAGCACCGTCCTGAACCGTCTGCTATGGATATTCTAGCCAATTTAAAGGAGTCAGTAGAATTTAGAATCTCAGAATAGAACGTAACTCACCTCCTTCAGAGGGCGAGGAGGAAGAGAATCCTGCAGCTGCCTCAGGAGAGAAATGTAGGCCTCGGGAAGCACATCCGCCCTAGTGGATAGGTATTGTCCGAGCTTGACCCAGAGGCCTTCCAGCTGAATCATTAGATCGAGCAGGCGCCGGGCGTTCCGCTCGTGGGTCTTCATCCATAATCCCTCTCTCTTGCTTTTGTTCATCCATTTCGCCCTCTTCTGAACTGCCTGCAATTATAAACCAAGAACTAAAATCATCTGAGCTGACATGCTGTACAATCTTTTCCATTCGCCATCAACAGGAAATCTGAGACTCATCCAACCTTGTAGTCCAGGTAGATCACCAGCGCGAGACCGAACACTTTCAACCGTCTTCGGCAGATGTTTGCCCATCCCATCAGTAATCAGGAGACTTTGATCTGCGGCTCTGAGGAACGCTTTATGTTTTCTGGATTATCAGCTGAAATCTCAGAGCCTGCTGAAGAAGCGACCATCAAAATGGAAGGTTGCTACTTTCTGGAAAATAGTGGGATGCAATCTCTCTGCTAGATGACTGATTTGTAAAGAAGATAATGAGAACGGGAATGGCCAGATGCAGTCTACTGTAGAAGTAATGGGAAATTCAGACTACATGCGTGAGCGGAAATGACAAGGAATTACGTGGGGAGGAAGAAATTAAGTATCAGATCGATCGGGTTTTCTTTCTTTCGCTCTTCCACGCAATTCAGGGCGGGTTCCTTAATCATTATGTGATAAATTTCCAGATCAATCATTCAGCAGTTTCTGAAAATCGATAAAATAAGCAGAAAAACTAATGCGATCGGGGAGACCAGATTCTCGAGAGGAAGTACCAGCCTGACCTGACGAGTCCTCTGTAGCTCCCGACTATCCAGAAACCAGAAGAGCAGAAATTTCGCAGGGAAGGCCGGCCGGTCGCATAGAGCACGGCACAGATCACCCGAGCTTCGCGAAGCGACGCGAGCACCGACGCGTCGAGCGGGACGCGCCTTCTGTGCCGTTCCCCCTCCCTCCTCACCCTCTCTCAGCGGCAAAGTCTGCTCCCGGATGTGGCCGACCAGGTACCTTCCGGAGCTATATCTGCCGCCTTTTCACAAGGGGGAATGAATGACCTCCTCACCCAAGAACAGACGACTCCCGAGAAAATTCTGAGAGAGAATAAGAGACGGAAGTCTGTGGGAAACTTCCGCCGCACGGCTGGAAAGTGAGAGAGCGGGAAGGGAGAGAAGAAGCTGCTCTCGACGAAGCAGGAGAGAGATAGAGAGCGAGCGACCGTCTCGTTCGTTCCTCCGGCCCCGCTTCTTCCACGCGCTGGTCTTTGATTCTTTTATTCGACACTTCTCTCTCTACCTCTATATCTCCATATCGCTCTCTCTCTCTCTCTCTCTCCAGCCAATTCATATGGTAATCGTGAGGGATGACTGCGTGAAGACAGATCCGTAGAGAGAGAGAGAGAGCAGAGACACCAAGAAGTGGACAGGAGAATGGGGAGCGCCGTCCACGTGGGAAGGAACGGTAAGTTCGCTGGCTCACTTGGACTGCACACCAGAGTTTTGGCCAATGAAATACGCCCACGTGGAGGAGACGGGACGCGGACTAGAGAACCTTCGACGGTGTTGACTGAGACCATCTGGTTGGCGGTGGGAAGATCCCGTGGGTACCCACTTGTGCAGGAGTTTGCGAATCGCCCCCAAGAATCTGTCTCCATACATTCAAACCCTTCTCTTTCGGAATTAGGAAATTTACCTACCCGATCATCTACCCTTCCATGACCACCCCCATATGCACCCATTATAAAGAGAGAGAGAGAGAGAGAGAGAGAGAGAGGGAGCGAGAGAGAGAGAGAGAACCGTCTCTCTGTGTCTGGGAGTGCAGGAGATTAGATGACCTACTGGAAACATCACAGACGGAGAAGAGTCTAAATAAAGCGAATGCAACGGGCATCTAGCTTAATAATGTTCATTCACAATAGCATCTGCATGAGAGAGAAAGAGAGTGATATAGAGAGAGAGGGAGAGAGATAAAATGCCCAAGAATCGTCCCTCTGCCTTGGAGTGTGGGAACACCACAGAAGAAAAGGAGTCTAAAGTAAACGAATGCCCCAGATGTCAGTCACTACAGCGTCTGCTGGAGAGCGAGAGAGAGAAAGAGAGAGAGAGAGAAACCCATGGGTCGGTTCTCTCTCTCTTTCTCTCCAGGGGTCTCCTCTTCCTCCGCAACGGAGATTCCGGAGCTTTAAAACGCCCACTTCGGTCGAGAAAAGATGAAAATAATGCGTCTGAAGTCAGCGCAATATCTGCACTCCGAGCTGGTGGAACGAGGACGCTGAGCCATATCCAATGGTTCCGATATAATCTGATCAGTACGAGGATGAAGACATTCAAATACCCTGACGAAGACGAAATCGCGCTCCAAGACGAAAGAAAATGGCAGACTTTCATGTAGTGAGCACGATAGAACCGGAAGGTCAGCCCGCGTTGATGTGGAAAACGAGGGACATCGATGGCGTGGTTTAGCCAACGGCATGGGTTTCACCAAGTTGGGGGTGACCACCGCCTGAGCTGTCGGCGGCGGCGGCGGCGCGGAGGAAGGTCAGCGGCGCAGAGGCCTTCGGATCGTCGGTCATCTGCCTTGGCGAGCTGCTCCCCATCGGAGCTCCTGCAAACAAAAGTAAACGCCCATCTTTCTCTCTCTCCCGCTCACTCTCTCTTTTTCTCTCTCTGTACCCCCCGGATCGGCAACTGCGAGGAGAGCAGCCAACGCAAAGGCCCGAGCTTTCATAATCCATCCAATCTCTTAGTCACCAAACATAGCAGCAGAAACGATCCACGGCGGAATGCCCAACCAAAAAATAGAGGGTTTAATACATAGAAACGAACGGCATGAAGGAGACGATGCAATATATAGATCACCATAAAGCAAGCAACTTAGGTCCAAAACTTCGGTTTATGAGTGTATAATTCATCGCGGGAGTTGAGGGGGGACTAGCGGTGGAGCTCCCTTCAATCCAAAGGAGGACGAGACGGCGAGCTCCGACAGCTCCAGCGTCATGGAAGCCGGCCATGGCATCTCCCCCTCACGGGAGGGGCCGAGGATGCCATGCTGGGATCCATGATTCTGCAGCTGTGTGCAGGCCCTTCCCCGCCTGGTTTGGACTTCGAGGAGCTCCACCCTCCCAGACCCTAGAAGAGAGAGGAAGAGGACTCGCAGACGAGAGAGAGCGAGAGAGAGAGAGAAAAAGAGAGGGATCAAAGACGAGAGAGAGAGAAAAAGAGAGGAACCATAGACGAGAGAGAGAGAAAGAGAGGACTCGCAGACGAGAGAGAGAGAGAGAGCGAGAGAACGAGAGAGCGAGAGAGCGAGACACAGAGAGAGGACTCACAGATGAGAGAGAGAGCACTAGCAGCGTTCAACGGTTGGAGCCCTCCCTTCTCGCTCTTCCCCTTCAAACGGGTGAGACAGAATCAGCTCTCCTACCCAGAAGCTCTTCCCGGCCATTGCCCTCCGCTCCGCTTATCTTTGCCTTACAGAGAAAGAAGAAAGAGAGAGAAGAGAGAGAGAGAGAGAGAGGTAAGCCATGAGACGTGCCATGCCCTCGTAGGAAGAGCCCGCGTGCGGATGTCGTACGATGGGCGACAGGATCTACGGGTTCGATACGGTAGATCGAAGAGGGCGGCCTCTGCGGCTGAGCCGTCGCTTTCTCCGCGGTAACTATTTCCGCCGGCGCACCACGCCAGCTGCTGTCCGCGAACCCTCCCTCATTCGAACACTTTTTCTATATTCGAATTAAATTGCCGCGAAAAATAGGAACTTTATCCAAAAAGATTTCTCATCGCTCCACTTTCCCAAAAGTGTCGGCGGCTTTAACGCCGTTAACTCGGCCTAACGGTGCATGCCTCCATTTAATGGGTGATTACTCCAATTGATCGCTTATTAATGTCGGCAAACCTCTACCCCCTCACGTGCTTCTATTAGTCGCGTTAACGGCATTCTCTCTCTCTGATCCTAACGGTTGAAAATTTGGTTTAAGATAAGCGCTGCCGAAGCTTAATGGGCTCCGCTATTGGGCCCAAATGAACCCATTAATATTATAGTGGAAAGGCCCACTAAAGAAGGGAATTACGCGACCGTGGTAAGGAGACGCACAGGCCCCACGAATAGGCGGCACCTACGGTTTCGTACGGCCCAGTACTGAACCGAGGCGAACACCCTTTTTAAAAGAAATAACCAAATTACCCTCGACTGCGGGTACGCGTTCTCATCTGAAGCCCCCTCTTAGCCTTCTCCCCAAAAACAGTGGGTGCGTGTCGCCACACGACGAAGAAAGAGGGAGGAGAGAAGAGAGAGAGGACGGCAGATCCTCGGCGCTCGCGCCGGAGCAGCCCTTGGAGCCGCCGAGAAATCCCCTGCCGGCGCCGAGGAGGACGACGAATGGCTCCGGGGAGCCGAAGCGACGGTGAAAGCGGAGCTGAAGCTCCCAGAGAAGAAGGGAAGAGGGAAGCAGAAGGAATGGTGGAAAGAACCCACATCAGCAGCAGATTAGAGCGAGCTCGGAAATCTAACAGCACTCGACTAAAGGCGAGAACAGCCGCCGCAGTCATGGGGGAGGAAGGGACATTAGGGTTTCCTCTCCAGAAAAAAGAGAGGATGGATGGATGCGCCAATGAAAAAAACCACATCACAACCCTCTCCACACAGTCCCTCCTCTCTTCTTCCAAACCCTACAAAACGCCTTCAGACGCTGGTCTTCTGCTGCAGCAGCAGCAGCGGCGACGGCGGCGGCGCTGGGAAGGTGGCCGCCTGCCTGCAACGAGCAGAGGGGAGATCGAAGGTCTCGGGGCCGGCGAGGCCGCTCAGCTCCACGAAGCCCTCGAGGGCCAGGTCCCTGAACCGTGCCTCGTCGGAGTCGAGGATCTCGAGGACCCGCCGGAAGAACTCGGCGGCGCAAGGAAGAGCGAGGCCGCCGCCGGCGGAGAAGCCGAACTCCTCCTCGGCACGGGTGAGGAGGGATGAGAAGACCGGGAAGGTGAGGAAGCGCGTGGGGATGACGAAGCGCCGCCTCTCCGGGCCAACGTAGACGGCGAGGAATCCGGCGGGGACGCGGCGGAGGAGGCCCGAGGCGCCGCTGATGTCGCCGACGGCGGCGGAGTGGCGGCGGAAGCTCAGGGGTCTCCACCGCCTTACGAACCGCTTCAGCTTCACCATCTTCATGGCGCCCGTCATTTCCTCGAGAAGATCCGACAGCCCTTCCCTTCCCTCTCTCTTCTCCCTTCCCATTTCTTCCTCCGGCGAGCTTCGTACACACACCAAGAAAGAAAGAAAGAGAGAGAGAGAGAGAGAGAGAGAGAGAGAGAGAGGGGGGGGTCACTTGGAGTACGTCCAAGAAAGGAGGAAAGCGGCTGAGCTGCGGTTTAAATGCACATTAAAATAATACTTATTTTATTTATATTTTGTAAGGATTCACTTTAAATAGTGAAATTATAATGGTGTAAAATATAAAATTCTATATGTGGCCAAGATGGTGTAGCCAATCAATCTACACCGTCAATCTGAAATCCAGCCGCTCAGCGGGAGGCCAGCGGAATTAGATGAAGTGGGACAGTTCCATTGGTTGGATGAGGGAGCACGTGGTTGCTAGATCTTTGACTGCCTGCCTTCATTTTACTAAATAATTAATTATAAAAGCGTAATACATTAATAAATCGCTTATTTCAGGTCAGGCTCCACACGCCAACCGTCGTGTTACGCTCGACGTAAATAACACGATCTGGGGGGAGAGAGAGAGAGAGAGAGAGAGAGAGAGAGAAGAGACGTAAATGACAGAAGTCAATGTCGTCGTAACGCTCGACGTAAGAAGTCAATGGCGTATTCATCTCAGCGCTGAAAAAAGATATTTGTCAAGAACAGCGGCGTTAACCAACGAGTCAGTGTGGAGCCTCCGATTAGCTTTGGTGGTCTAGACCTGCGCAGCCTCCCAGACCACATCCTCTGGTCGTCGACGACTCAACGAGCCCATAAATAGGGAGGATGTGGTCCGTTTGAGCAAGAAACATGACCTCTCATTCTTCTTCATCATCATCATTTTCTTAGTCTACTTCATCTTCTTCTCGTGCTGCTGCTGCCGCTCCTCCAATGGTTTTGCGGGGTGTTGCCACGGGAAGGCTGACGGTCGTTGTCGTTGTCGTGGTGGCATCTTGTCTGGGATGTGATGGGAGGGGTTGTCACGACAACGAGCGGAGGGCTTTGCTCGAGATCAAGAAGGTTTTCAACCCCTTGAATGGCTCGCTCATGTCACACTGGGGGGACTCAATAACAGAACAGGTAAAAGACTGCTGCCACTGGCCTGGTATAACTTGCAACCCCAGCACCGGTCACGTGGTCGAGCTCCAGTTGAACAGCAACCGTTGGAGTGATGTGGAGGGAACATGGCACCCAAACCTCACCATGTTGGCGGAGTTTGGGCAGCTAGAGAGCTTGAATCTGCGGTGGAATCAGATAGGCGGTGGCATTCCAGAGGGTGAGTAACTTCCCCCAATTGTGACAAGCAACTCGTTCATTTACTTCCGTTATTCTTAAGAAAAATATTTTCGAGATTTGCCCACATCAACGCAAGTATATAGTTGAATTAATCAATTAGCTCCTTCAACTATCTCATCTGCTCACATGTATAAGAAATTTCTTTGTTTGATTTCCTTTATGTGTCTCACAGCTATTTGCCACTTGAAGCTCCTAAAGACTTTGGATCTGTCAGTCAACAAGTTCGAGGATTCCATCCCATCATGGTTGTGCACCTTGAGATCCCTGAGAGAACTACATTTATATTTTAACAAGTTGGAAGGTTCCATCCCATCATGTTTGTGTACCTTGAGATCTTTGAGAGAACTTGATCTATCTTATAACAGTTTGTTAGGTGACATTCCTTCTTGTTTCGGCAACTTTCACTTCTTAACATCTCTTTATTTGTCCGGCAACCAATTTCAATGGAATGACTCATCCTGGCTGTGCAACATGCATTCCTTGACATCTCTCTCTATATATAACGACAGATCTCCGACTACCATTCCTTCTTGCATTGGGAACTTGAATAGGCTTAATTTCCTAAGACTTACTGGTGATTGGTTTAAGGGGAGTATCCCTTCCTCCATCTTCAGTAATCTGACTGACTTGGTCTTTCTTGAAATCAGCAGTAGTAGGTTTGAAGGGACTTTACAATTTTCAGTGTTCGCCAACCTTTCCAAACTTACAAAACTTGATATCTACTCCTTCGGTGGGTTAGAGATCAACACAGAGTACCCCATCTCTTGGGTCCCATCCTTTCAACTCATACATTTATCCATTGTTGACTGTGTGGTTAATAGACGTAGTGGTGGTCGATTTCCTTCCTTCCTCAAGACCCAAGGTAAATTAGAAGACTTAACTTTTGACGGCACCTCAATCCAGGGGACACTACCTGCTGGCTTCTTTTGCAACTTCACTTTTTTATCTTCATTGTCACTAATAAGTAATCATTTTTCTGGCCCATTTCTTGTCTCTCGCTGTAATGCATCTCAAAATGTTGAGGACATTCGTTTATCTGATAATGATCTAAACACGCTGCCTGAGAATATCGGTCTTTTTTTTCCCACGTTACAATCTTTGAGCGTGGCAAGAAACAAGTTGGAAGGGCACATTCCTGCATCCTTGGGGCATACACTCTTATATTGGCTAGATCTGAGTGGCAACATTTTATCAGGAAAATTACCACCCACTTTGATGAGAAATCGGAGCAGATTGTTTTATTTAGATGTATCTTCTAATCACCTTGAAGGAGAGATGTTCCCTGTTGATGCTGAGATGCCATTTTTAGATTCGTTGATCGTGCATAACAATAGTTTCACAGGTTTACTTCTCCCAAGGTTGGCCAACTTTTCTAGTCTAAGAATAATTGATGCTGGATATAATAGCCTTACATACCATTTCTCTCCAACCCTACCTTATTTCCCTAATATAGTGGTACTTTCCTTGAGAATGAATCATATTCACGGCTACTTACCCAAACAGTTATGTGAAATGCAGTATCTACGTCTCCTTGATCTTTCTGGAAATAACTTATCAGGAAAACTTTTACCTTGTCTTCACAATATTTCATCTTGGAGGTCAAAAATTCTACACAGGGCCGTAATTTCATTCTACTCATCATCTTCTTCTACCATTGCATGGGGATCTTTAATACCATCAGATCCAGGCCTATCGTTAAAGTCGAAAAATTCGATCCGTCAGTACAAGAGTGAGCCTCTGCAGTGGATGACACACCTCGATTTATCAATGAATATGATTAGCGGCATCATTCCTCAAGAAATTGGAGAGCTGCAGGGACTTCAGTCATTAGACTTATCCAAGAACCACATCCAAGGTTCTTTACCAAAGTCAATGGCAGACATGTATAATCTGCAAAGTTTAGACCTCTCACATAATGGTTTAAGTGGTTCCATTCCCAGTGAAATGGTACGACTCACCTTCCTTGAAACATTTAGCGTTGCCTTCAACAACATGACGGGTGTGATCCCGAATGGTATACAATTTAGAAGTTTTAATGAGAGCAGTTTTGAAGGTAATCCAGGATTATGTGGACCGCCACTAAAGAAAGAATGCTCCTCGAATAATGAGAACACGAAAGGGATAACAACAACAGAAGATGGAGGAAAGTCAAAAGATTACAAGAATGCTTTATTCTTTGCAATTGTTACAACGTCATTTACTCTTGGTTTTTGGGGGTTTCTTGTCAGTTTGTTTTTCAATAAAAGTTGGAGGATGAAATATTTCAAGTTCATCGATCAATTATTGTAACATGTAGTTGAGGGACCCTTGAATCTTCTGGTGTAACCTAGTTAATAGATTTGAATTGAAATGAAATGAAGGTTTCAAGTTTACTGTTTATTGGTTTCGCAAGTGTTGTATAAATGACTTCGTATGCTAATCTCCAGTGGATGGTTGGGAACTTTTCTTCTAACTAAACTCTTTCTAGTTCATATAGGCCTCGGAAGATACTTTATCCAACTATATTAATAAAATATCCTAGTATAAACAACTCAATATTCATGGTTCATGTCCGGCTCCACACCCCAACCATGACTTCCAGGGAGAGGGAGAGAGAGAGAGAGAAGATAACTATAGAACAGAAGAAAAGGCAAAAGGTAAGAGGACCAGTCATATTTTGTTAGATTTCCGAGCTCGCTCTAATCTTCTGCTGACGTAGGTTCTTTCCACCACACCTTCTCTTTCACTCTCTTCTTCTCCTCGCGGAGCTTCAGCTCGGCTTTCACCGTCGCTTCTGCTCGCCGGCGGCCGTCCGCCTGTCCCAGTAATTGACGTGCCTGAAATCCGGAAACTCGATTTCGGCTGAAATTCGCTAGTTCACAAAGATATCCGAAGTACACTAGTTAAAAGGCGGAATGGATACAAGAGGACAGATATTCTACCTCAATCTCCAATGCTATGCATTGGAGATCGGGATTCCCTCGCAGTTTGTTGTTGACCATCGCATATGCCACGCGGTTCCTAGATCTTTTCACTGACGTGCTGAGGATGTGCGGTCTTCACTCATTTGACTAACTATTAACCGTAAAAAGCGTAATAAATTTATAAAAAGCTTTGTTCGGGTTGGATCCCACACGCCCACCTATGAATTCTCTCTAGAAATAGAAGAGAGAGCCTCAGTTCTTTCCGTTGCCTTGGAGAGAAGTATCAACAGTTTAGTTAATGAATTATTTCATGTCCCGACAGTGATGATGTTTCGGGATTTTGGGCAAGCCTTCTGCCGGATGGAGCGCCAGCAGAAACCTGGAGGGCTGCTTTGGACCGCGGCGGTTGCCGGGGGATGCGAGGGCTGTCGTGGAGGAGACGCCGTCGGCCACAGAAAGCCCCCCCGCTCTGTGTGGTCATTCAAGGAAAGACAAAAGCAAGAAGATAGAGGGGAGAGAGAGAGAGAGAATATGGGAAGCGCTGCTGCGACCAGACCGGCGGTCTTGCCGGGCTCGTTGTAGATGGAAGGGCTCGTCCCCGGGCATGGGAGACGGCGGCTGACAATGTCTGCCAATCGGAGACGAGGAAGAGAGCGAGGAAGGAAGGAAAAGTTTCTGAAGACGTCCAGACGGGGAAGAGGGGGGACGGGGGAGACCACTACCGCTTGCTCCCCCCTCCTGTTTGAGAGTCTATGCCGGAGCGAATACATGTAGGGGTATGCCGAGAGAGAGGGAGAGGGAGAGAGAGAGAGAGAGAGAGAGAGAGAGAGAGAGAGAGAGAGAGAGAGAGAGAGAGAGAGAGAGAGAGAGAGAGAGAGAGATCTTCTCTTGCTTCTCTTCTCCTGTCGGAGGTAAAAAGAACGTGACAGAGAGACTGAATGACACAGATTAGTTAGTTGGTCAACGGAAATTTACTGAACAAACTCAATCATGATGAATGGATAGCCACAGTTGTAAGTATTGTTGATAATAAGTTAACATGAACCTGAAGGTGTTTAGGCAAAACGATTAATTATTTCCCATAATGTGAATTTATAAATTTAAAATTTGACATCTTATAATGCAATGACTAAGAGATGATCATAAGTCTTAAGGCATCATCCGTATCATTAACCTTCGAGCAAACTCTTCAAAATTCTTATGGTTCCTCATAAGAATGACATTCAAAAGATGGTTACTTTTGAAAGATATTTGATTTAATATGTTGGAAACATACTGGATTTTGTGGAAAATGTACTTGTGGAGATGGATTGCAATTGTCCTCTGAGTCATCTAGAATGGTTAAATACATCCTGCTTTTTCATTCTTCACTACAACTTTTCAACCTTGGCTGTAAGTATCTATTAATTTCAGGAATGAACTATATTTATTGGTAGGTTTAATGATTTCCTACCATGCATATGATTCAATAACATATATCTTTTAAATTTAAGCGTATAATCCGAATTTTTATCACTTTTCCATTTCATTTTCTTACCACTACGATGTTCTATTCCAAGGTGACAAATACGTACGAGTTTGTGATTTTATTTCATTTTTTTACTTATTCTTCTTGAGATTTTAATACTCAAAATCATTTTCCCATTTCAACACCAGCAGGGTTTCTCTATCAGTGGTCTTATTTTCCCTCTCCCCTCTTATTTTTCTCAATTTTAGGTGTAATTTTTTCACTTAGTTCTTTTAGTTTTGGGGTGTTCTTTGAAATGCAAGTCTTGAGTCATTTCTCAAGTCTGAATGTTGGAACACATCAAAATTCAAATATTTAGAGCTCAATTTAAAGTGCAGAGATGATTATTTTCTTTACTCTTCTTTATTTATTTTTATTTCAATCAATTGTTTTTTAAAAAATAAATCATGTTGAGATTAACCATTACCCCTATGAATAATTTGAATTCATCAAAATTTGGTACCAAATGTTATTTTGACTTTGGTCCATAAATATTTAAAATTTGATTACTTTGTTTATAACGACTAAAGTGGTATTAATTTTTCTCAGCATTTCCTCTAGAAGATCTGAAAGTCCTTCCCTTCCCTCTCTTGTCTCCTCCCATTCCTCTGTCATGCTTCATGCACAGAAGATAGAGAGAAAGAGAGAATATGGGGAGGGGAGAGAGAGAGAGAGAGAAGGGAGGTCACCTGGGGGATCTTTAGGGAAGGAATGTGGTGGAGTTGTGATTAAAATGCATAGTAAAATAATACTTATTTTAGTTATATTTCATTCGACATCTTGGTAACACTATGATTGATTACATCCTCCTGGTGTGGAGCCAATCAATCTATACCGTTGAATGGAAATCCAACATATCAATGGGGGATTAGTCTGAGATAGAGGGAAGGAGAGAGGGAGAGAGAGCGATAGAGAGGGAAGGAGAGAGAGGGAGGAGAGAGAGAGAGGGGAGAGAGTGAGAGGAGAGAGAGAGAGGGAGAGAGCGAGGGAGAGGGAGGACAGAGAGGGAGAGAGAAAAAGAGAGAGGAGAGAGAGAGAGAGAGAGGGAGAGAGAAAAAGAGAGAGGAGAGAGAGAGAGAGAGAGAGGGAGAGAGAAAAAGAGAGAGAGAGAGAGAGAGAGAGAGAGAGAGAGAAAGAGAGAGGAGAGAGAGAGAGAGAGAGAGGAGAGAGAGAAAAGAGAGAGAGAGAGAGAGAGAGAGAGAGAGAGAGAGAGAGAGAGAGAGAGAGAGAGAGAGAGAGAGAGAGAGAGAGAGAGAGAGAGAGAGAGAGAGAGAGAGAGAGAGAGAGAGAGAGAGAGAGAGAGAGAGAGAGAGAGAGAGAGAGGAGATGGTTATACGTTCCAGCGGTCCCGGGTCTTAATTTCGCTGCATGCCCTATTGGTCGTATCTGGGCTGCGGACTTTTTCTGTTCAGTGATAATTTCCGCCTCCGCAGGCTGCCTCCTCAAGGCTTCGGAGCGTTGGCCGAGTTTTTTTGGATTGAATCCAAACACAATCACAATTGGTGGGGCTTAACTGCGAAATTCCAGAGGACATTCTCGCCTTACGTCCCCACTAAGTAGCCTTTCTTGAAATCGCCCAAATTTCTTTTTATTTAGTTCTTCCAGCGAAGAAACTGATAGGGCGTTGCATTCTTCCTGTTCTTCGCATCCCCTGGAGCCCGACGATCTCTGCGGTCCTGTTGCTCGGCTTCTTCGTCCCCTCCAATCGTGGATCGAAGGGTAAGCTTTCCAGTCCCAGCGGATCCTACCGGAAAGGAGAGGATGGCAAAAGCTTGATCTCAGATGGAAGGTGGCCTCTAAGGTGAGCTCAGAAACCATGGAATCACCATTTTCTGCACCTTGATTTATTTTATCGACCGTGGCAATTGTCAATGATGCCGATGGTTGAAAGGCCCCCACGGCTGGTAATCTTCTATCTCCTTCAGGCTTGAGCATGTATTTCATTGGAAGATGCTTTGTAACTTCCTTCGTACTTACGAGTTAAGATCATCTTATTAAGTCCAAGTGGATTCGGATGAGAGTGACCCGGGGTGGAATTGCATGTGAAATGTCGTAGGCAGTGAGAGCTTTGCATGATCGGACTACCCATCTGATTTCCACGGCCTTACCTTCTCCTCTTGCCTTCATTTCTTTTCTCTCACTGTCGTTGTCTGTCGTTGTCTGTCATTGTCCGTCAATACGCTGGATGCAGAACAGGTCAATCATGTTTCTCAATGCCGTGTCTGTGGGATTAATAGAACGAGAGCCGAAGAATGTAAGAGAGAGAAAACCCCAACATCGGGCTAGCTGTCGATTTAGTTCGTTTTCTGTAAAATAATCGACTTTTTTTCCTGTAGCATGAAACTTTCTTTAGGATTTTTCAGACTAGGGAACCTTTGATTGATCGATAGAACCCTGCCCACAATTATCCATAGGGCGCTAACGTGGTGGAACCAATCAATCTATACCGTCGAATTGAAACCCCGCCGCCGCGCATCGGGGTAGCTCACTGAGATGGCGGAAAGCTCAGAATTACCCCGTAGACCGATGATCTGACACAGTTCCATAAGCTGGATAAGGGAGCGCGTGGTTCCTGGGTCTTCGACTGATCTTCCCTCATTAGAGTAAATTACTAATTATAAAAAAGAGATAAATTTATAGATAGCTTGGTTCGGGTTGGGCCCCAGACTCCCACCTGTGACTTCTTGAGAGAGAAAGAGAGAGAGGAAAGAGAAGAGAGAGACAGAAGAGATTACAAACAGAACGAAATGAAAAAATAAAGGTTTCAAACATAGGAACAGCATCGAGCCGTCGTAGCAAGCCGACGGCACGCTCCTGTCAGCATAGAAAAAAGATACAGTTCAACAATAGCGACGTCAACCAACCGAGAGAACGAGGAGCCCCTGATTAGGTGGTGATCTGGACCCCCACCGCCTGTGTCGACGAGTCAACAAGCCCATAACAATGATCCTGTTGTCCGTTTGAGAAAGAGAGATGACTCCATCATCTTATCCTCATCGTCTTCTTCTTTTCCTTCTTCCGCTGCTGCTCCTGTAATGGCCTTTCGAGGTGCTGTCCTGGGAAGAATGATCTTCGTTCTCGTCGTCATAGCGTCGTCTTGTCTGGAATGCAAAGTGACGGGTTGTCGGGACGAGGAACGGAGGGCTCTGCTGGAGATTAAGAGGTCCATCAACTTCCCCAACGGATCGGCCTTGTCCCACTGGGGATACTGGGGATACTCGACAACAAAAGAGGAAAAAAACTGCTGCTGATGGGAGGGTATAACCTGTGACTTCAACACCGGTCGCGTGGTCGGGATTGATTTATCGTTCCAGATGTTGCATGTTGTACCGGGGGCGACGTGGTACCTGAATCACACCATGTTGGCAATGTTTGGGCAGCTAGAGAGCTTGAATTTGGGGTAAAATGACATAACCGGCGGCATTCCAGAGAGTAAGTGACTTTCCGTAATTGTGACAAGCAACTGTGTCGAGATTTTTATACATCAACGGAAGATTCAATTCACTCTATATATGCACTTTCCGTCCTTCTGATTAGACCATATGAATAAGAAAAGTTTCTCTCCTTTTGTTTTATTCTTATCGCAGTTATCTGTGACTTGAAGCTCCTAAAGGTTCTACGATTGTCGTCGAACAATTTGGAGGGTTCCATCCCATCATGTTTGTGTACCTTACAATCCCTAAGAGAACTCCACCTATCCTTTAACAATTTGGGAGGCAACATCTCATCATGTTTGTGCACCATGAGATCCCTGAGAGTACTCTCTTTAGCCTATAACAGTTTAAAAGGTTCTATCCCATCATGTTTGTGCACATTGAGATCCTTGAGAATCCTCTATTTGGAGGGTAACAGTTTGGAGGGTTCCATCCCATCATGTATGTGCGCCTTGAGATCCTTGAGAAAACTATATCTATCGAATAACAGATTATCAGGTGATATACCTTCTTGTTTCAGCAATTTCAGGTCGGGCTTCACACGCCAACCGTCGTGTAACGCTCGACGTAAATAACACGATCTAGCGAGAGAGAGAGAGAGAGAGAGAGAAGAGACGTAAATAACAGAAGTCAATGGCGTATTCATCTCAGCGTAGAAAGATATTTGTCAAGAGCAGCGACGTCAACCATCGAGTCATTGTGGAGCCTCCGATTAGATGGGGGTCTAGACCCGCGCAGCCTCCCAGACCACATTCTCTGGTTGTCGACGACTTAACGAGCCCATAAATATGGAGCATGTGGTCCGTTTGAGCAAGAAACATGACCTCTCATTTTTCTTCTTCATCATCATTTTCTTAGTCTACTTCTTCTTCTTCTTCTTCTGCTGCTGCTGCTGCTAGTTCTACTGCAGCTGCTCCTCCAATGGTTTTGCGGGGTGTTGCCACGGGAAGGCTGACGGTCGTTCTCGTCGTCGTGGTGGCATCTTGTCTGGGATGTGAGGGGAGGGGTTGTCACGACAACGAGCGGGGGGCTTTGCTCGAGATCAAGAAGGTTTTCAACCCCTTGAATGGCTCGCTCATGTCACACTGGGGTGACTCAACAATGGAAGAGGGAAAAAACTGCTGCCAATGGTTTGGCATTACCTGCAACCCCAACACCGGTCACTTGGTCGAGCTCTATTTATACGGCGAGCATCGGAGTGATGTGGAGGAAACATGGCGCCCAAACCTCACCATGTTGGCGGAGTTTGGGCAGCTAGAGAGCTTGAATCTGCGGGTGAATCAGATAGGCGGTGGCATTCCAGAGGGTGAGTAACTTCCCCCAATTGTGACAAGCAACTCGTTCATTTACTTCCGTTATTCTTAAGAAAAATATTTTCGAGATTTGCCCACATCAACGCAAGTATATAGTTGAATCAATCAATTAGCTCCTTCAACTATCTCATCTGCTCACATTTATAAGAAATTTCTTTGTTTGATTTCCTTTATTTGTCTCACAGCTATTTGTCACTTGAAGCTCCTAAAGACTTTGGATCTGTCACACAACAAGTTCGAAGGTTCCATCCCATCATGGTTGTGCACCTTGAAATCCCTGGAAAAACTTGATCTATCTGATAACAGTTTGTTAGGTGACATTCCTTCCTGTTTCGGCAGCTTTCACTTCTTGACATCTCTCGATTTGTCCGGCAACCAATTCCAATGGAATGACTCATCCTGGCTGTGCAACATACATTCCTTGACATATCTCTCTATATCTAACGACAGATCTCCGACTACCATTCCTTCTTGCATTGGGAACTTGAATATGCTTGGTTTCCTAACACTTACTGGTGATTGGTTTAAAGGGAGTATCCCTTCCTCCATCTTCAGTAATCTGACTGACCTGGTCTTTCTTGAAATCAGCAGTAGTAGGTTTGAAGGAACTTTACAATTTTCAGTGCTCGCCAACCTTTCCAATCTTAGAAACCTTCATATCTCCTCCTTCGGTGGGTTAGAGATCAACACAGAGTACCCCATCTCTTGGGTCCCATCCTTTCAACTCATACATTTATCCATTGTTGACTGTGTGGTTAATAAGCGTAGTGGTGGTCGATTTCCTTCCTTCCTCAAGACCCAAGGTGGATTACAACAGTTAACTTTTGAGGGCACCTCAATCCAGGGGACACTACCTACTGGCTTCTTTTGCAACTCCACTTTTTTATCTTCATTGTTTCTAAGCAGAAATAATTTTTCTGGCCCATTTCTTGTCCCTTGCTGTAATGCATCTCAAAATGTTTACGCCATTGATTTATCCGATAATGATCTAAACATGCTGCCTGAGAATATCGGCCTTTTTTTCCCCACGTTAAAATCTTTGAGCATGCCAAGAAACAAGTTGGAAGGGCACATTCCTGCATCCTTGGGGCATACACTCTTATATTGGCTAGGTTTGAGTGGCAACATTTTATCAGGAAAATTACCACCCACTTTGATGAGAAATCAGAGCACATTGATTTGGTTAGACGTATCTTCTAATCACCTTGAAGGAGAGATGTTCCCTGTTGATGTTGATATGCCATATTTAGATGGTTTGATCGTGCACAACAATAGTTTCACAGGTTTACTTCTTCCAAGGTTGGTCAACTTTTCTAGTCTAAGAACAATTGATGCTGGATATAATAGCCTTACATACCATTTCTCTCCAACCCTACCTTATTTCCTCAATATAGTGGTACTTTCCTTGAGAATGAATCATATTCACGGCTACTTACCCAAACAGTTATGTGAAATGCAGCATCTACGTCTCCTTGATCTTTCTTGAAATAACTTATCAGGAAAACTTTTACCTTGTCTTCACAATATTTCATCTTGGAGGTCAAAAATTCTACACAGGGACGAATCTGTATCCTACTCATCATTTACTTCTGACACTGGATGGCAATCTTTAATACGATCAGATTCAAGCCTATCGTTAAAGTCAAAAAATTCGATCCGTGAGTACAAAGGTGAGCCTCTGCAGTGGATGACTCACCTCGATTTATCAATGAATATGATTAGCGGCATCATTCCTCAAGAAATTGGAGAGCTGCATGGACTTCAATCATTGGACTTATCCAAGAACCACATCCAAGGTTCTTTACCAAAGTCAATGGCAGACATGTATAATCTGCAAAGTTTAGACCTCTCACATAATGGTTTAAGTGGTTCCATTCCCAGTGAAATGGTACGACTCACCTTCCTTGAAACATTTAGCGTTGCCTTCAACAACATGACGGGTGTGATCCCGAATGGTATACAATTTAGAAGTTTTAATGAGAGCAGTTTTGAAGGTAATCCAGGATTATGTGGACCGCCACTAAAGAAAGAATGCTCCTCGAATAATGAGAACACGAAAGGGATAACAACAACAGAAGATGGAGGAAAGTCAAAAGATTACAAGAATGCTTTATTCTTTGCAATTGTTACAACGTCATTTACTCTTGGTTTTTGGGGGTTTCTTGTCAGTTTGTTTTTCAATAAAAGTTGGAGGATGAAATATTTCAAGTTCATCGATCAATTATTGTAACATGTAGTTGAGGGACCCTTGAATCTTCTGGTGTAACCTAGTTAATAGATTTGAATTGAAATGAAATGAAGGTTTCAAGTTTACTGTTTATTGGTTTTCGCAAGTGTTGTATAAATGACTTCGTATGCTAATCTCCAGTGGATGGTTGGGAACTTTTCTTCTAACTAAACTCTTTCTAGTTCATATAGGCCTCGGAAGATACTTTATCCAACTATATTAATAAAATATCCTAGTATAAACAACTCAATATTTATGGTTCATGTTCGGCTCCACACCCCAACCATGACTTCCAGGGAGAGGGAGAGAGAGAGAGAGAAGATAACTATAGAACAGAAGAAAAGGCAAAAGGTAAGATTTCAGCCAAGGAAGAGAGTCAAGTCATTGTCATACTTGACTTCGAAGTCAATGGCGCATGCATCTCAGTGTAGAAAAAGGTATTAGACGTTAACCAAATAGTCAGCGGGGAACCTCCGATTAGCTGGTGATCTAGACGTGCGCACCCCCTCCCACACCACATTCTCTGGACATCGAAGCGTCAACGAGCCCGTAAAGAGGATGTGGTTTGTTTGAGTAAGAAAGACTCCTCCTCCTCTTCTTCCTGCTCCACTGGCATTTTGGGGAGTTGTCTTGGGAAGGCTGTTGGCCTTTCTCGTCTACACGATGTTGACTTGTATGGAATGCGAAGGGAGGGGTTGTCACGACGACGAGTGCAGGTCTTTGCTCGAGATCAAGAAGGCTATCAACTTCCCCAACGTTGAGATTTGCCCGGTCGGGGTTGCTGAACAACAGAAGAGGGGAAGGACTGCTGTCGATGGTCTAAGATAAGTTGCGTGGTGGAGATCAAATTAGGAGGCAAGAGGTGAAGTGATGTAGAGGAGGAGACGTGGCACCCAAACCTGATTATGCTGGCAGTATTTAGGCAGCTCGAGAGCTTGTGATAGCCGTCCAATCAGATAGCCGTTGGCATTCCAGAGGGTAAATTTTCTACGATAGTGACAAGTAGAACGTTCTCTATTATATTATATGCACTCCCATCCGTCTCATCCGAACGGCCGAATAAGAAAATTTTATATTTCTTTTCTCTTGTTTGTCTCGCAGTTATTTGTGACCTGAAGCTCACGAAGGCTCTCGATCCTGTCATCGAATAAGTTGGAGGTTTCCATCCGGCAACCATCTCCGAGGGAACTACTCATACTGGTTGTGCCAGATGAGCTCATTGGCAGATCTCTGTCTGTTTAACTACAAATTTCCAAGCAGCATGCCTCTGTGCCTTGGGAACTTGAACAAGCTCAATTCCTCGAGTCTTACCGGTGATGAGTTCAAGGGAAGCATCTCTTGCTCCGTCTTCAGAAATCTAACCGACCTTGGTTTCTCTTGAAATCCAAGTTGGCGGGTTGGAAGGAATTTTACCTGTTCGGTGTTTGCAAACGTTTCCAAACATGAAGATCGACAAGTTGGCGGGTAAATTTCCTTCTCTCTCCTTCCTCCAGACCCAGCGTATGCTACAATCACTGGGACAGGCAGACCGCCGCTGGCGAGCAGAAGCGACGATGAGAGCGGCGCTGAAGCTCCGCGAGAAGAAGAAGAGAGTGAATGAGAAAGTGTAGTGGAAAGAACCAGCATCCGTAGAAGACTAGAGCGAGGTCGAAAATCTAACAAAACATGACTGAAGGCGAGGAAGGCTGCGGCAGTCATGGAGGAAGGGACACTAGGGTTTCCTCTCCAAAAAACAGGATGGATGAATGCACCGGTACAAAAAACCCACATCACAACCCTCTCCCCAAAACCCCCGTCTCCTCCTGGTCTTCTACAGCAGCGGGGAGATCGAAGGTCTTGGGGCCGGCGTGACCGCTCATCTCGACGAAGCCCTCGAGGGTGAGGTCCCTGAAACGGGCGTCGTCGGAGTCGAGGATCTCGAGGACCCGCCGGAAGCGGCGCTGGGGAGGGCAAGGCTATTGGCGGTGGAGAAGCCGAACAACTCGGCGCGGGGGAGGACGGAGGAGAAGACCGGGAAGGTGGGGAAGTGGGTGGGGATGACGAGGCGCCGTCTCTCCGGGTCCACGTAGACGACCAGGAATCCGGCAGGGATGCGGCAGAGGAAGCCCGACCCGCTTCAGCTGCACCACCAGCGACACCTTGTCCCCCCTTCTTCATCGCCGTCGACATTTCCTCCAGAGGATCCGACAGCCCCTTCCATTCACCCTCTCTTCTCCCTCCCCTTTTCTTCCTCCGGTGAGCATCGTAAACATGCAAAGCAGAGATAGGGAGAGAAAGAGGAGAGCGAGAGAGAGAGAGAGAGAGAGAGAGAGAGAGAGAGAGAGAGCGAGAGAGAGAGAGCGAGAGAGAGAGAGAGTGAAGAGATGAAGGAAAGAGGGAGGGAAGGAGGTCACCTGGATCTCTGGGATGGGGAAAGCATACGAGCGGAGATTTTAAATCCGCATTAAAATAATGCCTACTACATGTAAATTTGATTCAAGGCCCTCGTGGGAGAAGTATGATTGATCACATATCCTGTATAGTGGCCTCTGGAAAGCTATAAAATTGATAACAGTGCAAAACATAATATTTCATATGTCGCTAAGGTGGTGAAGCCAATCAATCAGTACCGTCGATCTGAAATCTATACTCCCGGCAGGGGGAGGGGTCTTTCTGAGATGACGGAAAGCGCGGAAATTAGCATTGCTGTCTTGGGGACATCCCCCATTGGCCTCTTGTGCAAGTCCACTTTATCTAAACTGAAGCTAAGATTGCAGGAAACATGTTGGAAGGGAGCATTCCAGCATCCTCGGGGCATGTACCCCTATATTCACTAGATCTGACTGACAATAGTTTATTTGGAAAATTCCCGCTAACTTTGTTGAGAAATCAGACAACATTGCATTATTTAAATGTCTTACAATCATCTCCAAGGAGAGATGTTCCCAGACGATATCAATACATCCACTTTGAATGTCTTGGTTGTGTACACAATATTTCATCATGGAGATTAAGAGCAAAACCTAACATGATTTGAATACAGACCTATGAAAATGATGTACATGTATCCTTCATCTTGAAGAATTCCATCTACTCGTATGAAAGTTATTCTTTCCAAGAGATGACTATTGTTGATTTATCAATAAACATAATTAGTGGCGTCATTCCATGGGAAATTGGAGAACTGAAGGTGCTTCAGTCATCAAACTTATCAAATAACCAAATCCAAGGTTCTATATTGGTGACAATGGCACGCATGTATGGCATGAAAAGTTTAGATCTCTCTTACAATTGCCTTCAAAGACTTATATGATACAATCCCATATGGGGGGCAGTTTACAACTTTTTCAATGATAGCTATAAAGTTAATTGAGATTTATGCGGAAAACCTCTTGAAAAAGCATGTTCTTCTGACAAGAAGAGAGTGGATAAGATGGCAAAAGCTTGGGAGAAGAAGGCCAACTCAAGATATTGATGATGCTTTATTTTATTCACTTGTTACAGTGTCATTTACTTTGGGCTTTTGGGTGTTGCTTGCTAGAATTTTTATCAATCTGAGTTGGAGGACAAAATATTTCAAAATCATTGATGAATATTACAATAAGTGCTTGGGGACCTTTGAAAGCTTTCATGTTCAAGATAAGTATGAATGGACACGGAAGGTTTTTGAGGAGACATGTTACACTCTTTTTGCTGGAATTGTTTAAATGATTTCGGTATGGTAATCTCTAGTGTATTATTATGGTTATTCAACTAAATCCTTTCTAATTCTTGTAATGGAGAAATATTGTATCCAACTTTAGTGCTAAAATACCTTATCTCTTTTGAAATATTATACAGATCATTTTGAAATTAAAATCTTAACTCTTTTTCCACATAATAGTTATTTGTCAATATGAAATCATTTATTAAAGGAGAAACACATAAAAGGATTGTTAAACCATTGGAGTGGGTTACTCATGATCTCTAAATGAGCTCATCACTTTTGTATCAAATTAAAAAAGGTAATGCATCCACTAGGGAGGCCATAGAGAGACCATCAGAAGGCATCATATGATGCTGGCTTATTAAGATAAGGCTTGAAGACCATCCATCAACTAAGAGCATAAGCATGCTATTTCAGAAGAGGTAATACATTGTATTACAAAAATTTCAGGAAATAATAATTGTAAAAATCTAAAAACTTATTTTAAACATTTTAAGAAAATCATGAAAAAATTATATAAGATAATAAACTAACCCAGATTCGACGTGAAATCAGATTTGATCCAAGGAAATCAGATTCTATGTGACCTAATTCTATGTAAAACTCATGAAATCAGATTTGATCCAAGGAAAGGTTGATATACGAAACCCAGAAAATAATTTTCGATGATGTGTTGATGATTTTGTCACTAAATCACCAAAACATGATCGTTCGAGGAGATAAAACATTCATTGGATTTGTAAGAAAGTAAAGTATATGAGAGAAATCATAAAGCTAAAAGAAACTATACAATTGGATACAGATATCATTCACTATTGAGAAAATTTCTGACGATATGCTTGATGATTCTGTCATCAAATCATCAAAACATGATCATTTGAAAATATTAAATATTCATTGGATTCGTAAGAAAGTAAGGTATATGAGAAAAATTATAAACCTCAAAAAAATTCCATGAGTTGATACAGATTTCCCTTCTTCTGCCTTGGTGTCACTGTCAAGATGTGAGAAGTCAGGGATAGACAAGAATAACCTATTAAAAATTGAATAAAATACCATCTGTAAAATGATACTTGTCATCTACGAAATAAAATGGGATCTAAGGAGTTAAGAAAAGAGAGAAAAGGTGGAGAGCTCATCCTTGCAACCCTAAGGTCTTTGTTGTACATCACCCAGCTGCCACCTCCAATTTGAACTTGAAAAAAGATCCCCTTTCATTTGCCCTTTCTTAAGTTTATACACCCACGCCCATTTGAGCCTTTTTTCTCCATCCTTTGCGTGGTCTGATTGAGCCCAATATTTTGGGTGCTGTGTTTAATTCTTTTATGCTCCAATCAGTCTTTTCTCATGTTTGGGGTTTTTGAGCTTTAACATTCCATGTTGATTCTTCTCACTTTGAAAATTTCATGAAAATTAATCTCCTTGGAATAAAATTTTAAAATTTTGAATCCTTGTTCTTGATAGATTTAGACACATTCTTAAGGTGATAAACCTTGGAAAAAGGTTAGAAAGGGTTAGTAATTAAATCCATAAGTCGCATGATGTAGATATAGTTGTTTAAAGTCATTTATGTATATCTTTTGACTTTTGTTCTAATATGAAGAGATATTTTAATTTATTAATATTCATTAATGCAAAATTTAAAGAGAAAATTAATTAAGTTTTAGTGATAAATCAATATTTATCACATCCCCCTACTAATGTATTGCTAGTCCCTTAGTAATGAATATATAGAAAAATATAAGCTAAGATTGATCACATCATTAAAAGAAATATGCCATCCATCAGGTTAGGAATACACCTCAGATGAAGCATGAGTTTAGAATCCTATGGCCAGTGGGGAATATGCACCAAGTGCTTGTCTAAGTGCTATCTAAATCATGGTAGGTCCTCCACATCATGAAGTCATTAGTTCTCATCCAAATACTATGTGAAACCTTAGTAGGGTTTAAGGTAAACTCCTCCAAGTTCTTCAAGAGTATCTATTAACCTTCTATCCCCCCTTTCTACCAAAAAGTAATCGAAGCCTCAATTGCCACTAAGGTTGGGGTAGGCAGACTTTAAGCTTTACATACATTACCTTTTTGCCTTAAGAAGGAGGTTAGATGGTGTAGAGTGAATGAGGTTTAGAAGATGCAGAGTTTAAATCATGGCACTTATAGGCTTTGACTTTAACTTTAACTTTGAGCTTTTTTTTTTTTTTTTTTTAACCCCACTCTTAACCCTTGCTCTGTGATATAACCTTTTTTTGTTTTTTGGACTTTGATTTTCTAGGAGCTTCATACTTTTGCTAGCTACCAAGGACTTATAAGATAATATACTTCAAGGTTACTTGGCTGGGAAGGACTCTAAATAAACCCAAGGGGTTGGGGAAGAATAGCTCTCCCTAGTAGGAGACACAAGTAGGTGGAACTAGTGAACCTTAAGAGGACAATGGAGAACTTTAATGCGGAGGACAGCAAGTGGACAAGATTTCAATTTTTTTCCCCCTCCTAGATCATAATCATCCTCTCATACTCATCCAAGATGGACCCACTAAGAAGGATGGCATTGAAAAATGGTACTATATTAGGGTGTTGCATTAAATATGCTGCAATCTGCATCCTTTAAAATTGAAAATTTACCAAATTTCATGCAATTTAGCTGATCCCCCCACTTAAATGACATTGGCCTCAATGGCAAGCATACTACATGCTCATCTATGAAAGCATAGATCGGGGGGAAGGATATAACCTGAATTTTTGGAGCCATTTCGATGTTGTGGCATTGCTGGGCTTCTAATTTCACTATTTGCTTCATTCCTTCTCCTCTATACTTGATTGAAAATAGGAATAAAAAGAAAAGAAGAGATAACAAAAACAAACAAAACAAAGGGATATCTATTTAAGGTTTGGGGTACCTCCCAAGAGTGCTTTGTTTAATTTCTTTAGCTAGACTCATGTAAACTCATGGATTAGTGAGGAGCAAAGACTCTTTAGATGGTTGAGGATCATGTTCAAGATAGGGTTTCAAATGTTGATCATTCACAATAAAAGATCTATCATTTTTGTGATCAAGAAGTTTAATCGCCCCATTATCCAAAACATGTAAAACAATGTACAGCCCATCCTATCTAGATTTAAGTTTTCTAGGAAGTAATCTAAGTTTTAAATTAAAAAGTCATACCTTTTGACCTTCAATGAAGTTCTTTCTCATAATGTGCTTATCATGATAAGCCTTCATCTTCTCCTTATAAATTCTTGAACTTGTATATGTTTCATTGCTTAGCTCCTCAAGTTCACTCATTGAGAGAACCCTTACTTTACCTACTCCATTGACGTGACTTAGTCGTTGTATAGTAAATTATACTAATTTAAAATTTATAAAACTAAAAAATATAAATTTTTAGATATTTAGAAGTTGTAATATTTGTATGGAGATAAACTATCTTCTCATGAACTGTTAAACTTTTTTTGTAAGTATTTTTTGACTTTTGGGGTATTATCTTCGACTAAATTTTTATAGTCTTGCGAAGATTCCATTCCCAATCACAATTGTAACATTTATACCTTATATTTTTGTGCTTACCTTTATGTAGATCACTTTTAAATTAATATCTTAGTTATCTTCACACGTTATTTTCTTATTATGAAATCATTGTACAAATGAGACACAAAGGATCATCAAACTATTCAACTTGGCTGATTGAACACAAACAAGAAGATCATCAATCCACTAAGAACAAGGGCTAACTGTTCTCCAAGCGAGATTGGGACAAATGAAACCAATCTAATTTTAGTCCAACAACCAGGTTTAACATCAATTTTTTACCATCTGCTAATGATTTATCTAACAACAACAATATTCCAATGGGAACCTCTGGATTGGCTCAAGACTATGGACACCCGAATGACATAGGAAAATAAAACTAGATTAGATAATGATCAGATCTGCCCACTATAATGACAAAAACAAGCAACAGGTAGTAAGAATAGGAGGGAAACAATAGAGAGGGAGAGTTTGGTGGGGTATGGTGGACTCCCTAGAGTTTGGTGAGGAGGCAGTTTGAGAGACCCCCAAGCTCTCCTAGTTGATCCCCACTTTTTGGATGTCCTAATTTCTTACTTGGAGCCTATTTTAGTGTCTCATTCAGCAGCAGGTTACCACTCTTGCAGCTGTATGTTATTGGGTTGTGGGCCCGGAGATGGGCCGGGCTATGGGTGTAACATATTCCCAAGTGCTCATCAAATAATCATTTTGAAGTAATTAAATCAACAACAATGAGGATTTTAAAGCCAACATAAGACTCAGGAGAAATTGTACCCCAAAGTTTTCATTTGGAAAGGGACTTTGGATGACAACACGAAGGGTAAGTTGGTGCTCTAAATGTATTGAACATAAGAGCTACTCCAACGAATTTAAATAATTACAAGCATCAATCAAAGATAATTTCATAAGAATATCCCATTGGAGAAAACTCCTCAATTCAAGGGATAATATGCCAAATCATTTTAGTTTTCCTTACATTTAATAAACCACCATATATACTTATTGGTGTGGGTAGGCATGCATTTTCCAATGTGGATCAAATCATTAACTTTTCATGATATAGAAATGCGTTGATAACACATATAGGTTATAGTCGGTGAGTCCATCAACAATCTTCCCCATCAATCACAACTTCCTTGGGTTCTCATAGTTTTATGTCCTTACTTATCATTCATCTGCACTTTTTCACTCTGTGATAGATCTTTAAAATATCCTATGACCATGCAATCCACATTATCTATTCAATAAAACTATAGATGTGAGACTCAATCCACATTATCTATTCAATAAAACTATAGATGTGAGACTCAGTCCACATTAACATACCTATTTCAAGGGTACAACCTTGATGCAGCTTATTTCAAGTGACCCAAGAAGCTCAGACGAAGTAGATTCTAGGCAAGGTGGTCCCTCTTACTCCAACTAGAGGACAAGATACTCACCAGTCACAAAGGTTATGTCCAACTGTGTCTAGCATTGTCATTCTAAGTGGCAGTCTTAAGCTTGAGATGCCCTTATTTAACAGGGACCATCAGGAAGCTTGGATATTGTTAACATATCATTTTTTTTGCAGGATAACTAGGGTTAAATAATTTAAAATTATCATTGTAAGCTAAGGTAAAGTTAATGAAATATAATGAAAAATACTAAAATAGACTGTAAAAGTGTTTCATGATTTTTTATTTATAAATATCTGTTTTAATCCTTTGATTCTAATCGAACGCAATATCCAAGGCATGGCCTCGAGATTTATTTTTATTTTTTTTCGTTCTTTTCTCGCAGTCAGAAGATAATTGGACATAGTGGGCCAGTCACAATCGGCCCATGACAAAAGGCACACTAAGCAGGGGTTTAAAAGGGAAGAGAGAAGGAGAGAGAAAGGGGGGATTACCCTTGGCGGGAGAAAGGGCATGCATGCAGCCTTCATGGCGAGCTCTATTGGATTCATGATTTCTGCTCGGTGACACATCAAAGGGGATGGCACAAAGATAGCGGCATCAGGCAGCGGCGGCAGCGGCATGACGACAATGTGATAGAGAGAGATCCCTCTTCTTCCCCGTTCTCTATTGGGTGACCAAATCGGCTCACCAGGAAAGAGGTCCCAAAGAAGTCGGCCCAGCCCAGGAACAAGGCAAAGTAGAGAGGAGCCAGACACCGAAGCGGACAAACTGCACGTGAGAATCGGGGAGGCGTGCGTGGTGGACGGATTTTGGCGGGGAACCAAAATAGTAGGCAGGACCCCCCGACACCAACGGACACGACAAGTCTCAGGTCCCGTCGAATCCGACCGTTAGATGGGAGGCGGTCGTCGACACGGGCGGACTACGGCTATAAAGAAGGATCAACCGGCCACGGAAAGGGGGGAAGAACCTCGTGAAGAACTCCGTTCGGAGCTGGAGACTCGCCATCTCGTATCGGTTATTTTGTAGTACCTCTTTCTGTATCCCGTATCCCTCGTTGAGCGATCTCTCTCTCCTCTCGATGCCTGGTCTTCCGGCGGTAGCCATCCTCGGAAGTCCTGGTGCTCGGAAGTTTTGTATGAAACAGGTTTATCTATTGAATCAGCTCGAGTGTTGCCACCTCAGTCAAAGGGTCATCATCAGAGACTCAACAAAGCGGATGATAGCATCATGCCGTAGTGGCGGCAGTGTGACAGAGAGCTCTCTTCTTCCCATTCTCTGTTAGGTGACACAGTAGAGGAATCTGAATCCCCCTAACATCTCATTATCATCTACTCGCCGTTTTATTGCCATTCGAAAACCTGATTTCAGCTTGTGTTAATCCCCTATTGATCCTTGGGTGACACGAGGATCAAAGGGACACGCGGGGGCTGCCTTGGAGAAGACACAGTCAGCCGCGGAAAGCCGGCCGCTCTATGTGGTCATTCAAGGAAAGAGCGAGAGAGAGAGAGAGAGCGATGAGAGGATGGCTGTACGGTTGTTCCGGCCCGTATCTTGACAGCGGACTTTTCAGTCCAGTGGTAAATTCTGCCTATGCAGGCTGCCTCCTCAAGGCTTTGGAGAGAGGGCCGAGTTTTATTGGATTGAATCCAAGCACAATCACAATGGAGGAGGGGTTTAAGTGGGAGAGAGAGAGAGAGAGGGAGAGAGAGAGAGAGAGGGAGAGAGAGAGAGAGGGGGAGAGAGAGAGAGAGAGAGAGAGAGAGAGGGAGAGGGAGGGAGGAGAGCGAGAGACAGAGAGAGAGAGGGAGGGAGGGGATGGAGAGAGAGAGAGAGAGAGAGAGAGAGAGAGAGAGAGAGAGAGAGAGAGAGAGAGAGAGAGAGAGATTACCTGTACATTTCGGGCCTATATTTCTCTACATATCCAATGAGCCGTATCTGGGCCGCGTTCTCTCAGTCGAGTGGTAAACTCCGGCGCTGTGGATTGCCTCGTGAAGTCTTCGGAGTGTTGACCACGGATTTTTATCGGATTGGATGCCAACACAATCATGAAGGGCTCGCACGCGAAATTCCATCAGACGTTTTCTTCTTAGATTCCCCCAAAAATGATCGACCACAGAGATCCCCCTAATTACTTGTAATGGGTTCTTCGAGAAGACAGTTTGCTCGAGCGTGGCGGGGAATATTCTCGAACTAACGAAATCTCGGGGTATAATAGGCATTTAGCATGTCGACCGGGGTGCAGCCGGATCTTCTTCGACCGGGTGCGATGGAGGGACTGAACGGCGGACATCATTCAGTCGGGCGACGCCGATCTACGGATCCGACCGGAGCACGATCAGATGGAATAGCCTCCCCTTCAGAGATGGTAAGATGGAGAATCTGATGCATGAAGACAGATACAAATAGAGAGAGAGAGAGAGAGATAGCGATTAGATCCACGGATCTTCAGATACTGAATTTCTCGCGAGGCCATATAGAGCCATCCGCACTGATGTTGCACCTCGCACTCGTCCATGGCATCCCATCCCGAAGATCTTCCCTTCTGGGAGGATGCTGGAGAAAAAAGGAGGGCCAGGTGAAAGATGGCGGAAAACAGAAGTGGAAGTGCCTCAGCTCCAATGAATGTTTGCCCGCCGAGAGGGCCGTTCTAGACAGAGGGTCAGCCGCAGATATGCTTCTGGGTTTGTTGCTGGAAGCGGTTCATCGCGCCAGCCTCTGCAAAGCAGCTGCCCTACGCTTCCTTATTGCCCTTTCTTTTCTTCTTTTTCTTCAAACAAGCAAACCGGAAGCCGAACTCCTCCTCGGTTTCCTTGAGAAGAGAGAGGAAGGCCCGGTGGCCCAGGTGAGCCATGGGTATCACGAACCTTCTCATCTGCTCCCCACGCAGACGGAGAGGAACACCTTCGGGACTCGATTTCTCTTCTTCTCGCTGCTGCACATGTGGGATTCCGCCGCCATCTTTCTCTTCTTCAGCATCCGCTGGAGTCTGTCGATCTCTACGATCTCGTCACTCGGCTTCTTCGTCCCCTCATGGGTCGATCGAAGGAGAAGATTTCCAGCCGTACTGCATCCCACCGGGAGGGAGAGAATGGCAATGGCTTGAGCTCAGATGGAGGGTGGCCTGTAGGGTTTCTAAGGATGCCACGACCCAAATGAGTTGGTTAGTTTTCAGAAACCTTGACATGTAGAGCTCTCCTGCGGCCAAGCCCCTCGGCCATCGCCATCCATCGAATCACCATTTTCTGCGCCTACATTTGTTTTATCGGCCGCGTCAATACGGTGCGTGCAGAACGGGTCACTCATGTGAGACTGGGGCAAGGTGTTGATTCAGTTAGTTTTCTATTAAACAATCGATATTTTCTTGTAGCATGACACCTTGTCTTGATTGATCGACGGAATCTTGCCCACTCTTGATCTCATTGGAGTCTAGAATTTATCTCATTGGAGCGAGGCCCTTTATATATGCGTGTGAGAGAGAAGAATGAAGAAGAATTGAGAGAATAGAGAGAGAGGAGAGAGGAGGAGAGAACGGCAGTTGCTCGTAAGCCACGTCAGACGAAGGGGAGAGGGAAAGAGAAGGAACGGTGGAAAGAACCCATATCAGCAGCAGATTAGAGCGAGCTCCGAAGTCTAACAGAACTCGACTGAAGGCGAGAACAGCTCCCACAGTCATGGGGGAGGAAGGGACATTAGGGTTTCCTCTCCAGAAAAAAGAGAGGATGGATGGATGCGCCAGTTAAAGAAACCACATCACAACCCTCTCCACACAGTCCTCTCCTCTTTCAAACCCTAGAGAACGCCTGCAAACCCTGGTCTTCTGCAGCAGCAGTGGCGGCAGCGGTGGGAAGGTGGCCTCCTGTCTGCAACGGACAGAGGAGAGAATAAAGGTCTCGGGGCCAGCGAGGCCACTCAACTCCGCTAAGCCCGCGAGGGCGAGGTTCCTCAACCGGACCTCATAGGAACTCGTGGGCGTGGGTGAGGAAGGAGGAGAAGACCGGGAAGTTGAGGAAGCGCGAGGGGATGACGAAGCGCCGCCTCTCTGGGCCAATGTAGACAGCGAGGAAGCCGGCGGGGACGCGGCGGAGGAGGTCCGAGGCGCCGATATGTCGCCGACGGCGGCGGAGTGGCGGCGGAAGCTCAGGGGTCTCCACCGCCTTACGAGCCGCTTCAGCTGCACCATCTTCATGGCGCCCGTCATTTCCTCGAGAAGATCCGACAGCCCTTCCCTTCCCCTTCTCTTCTCCCTTCCCACTTCTTCTTCCGACGAGCTTCGTACACACCAAGAAAGAGAGAGAGAGAGAGAGAGAGGGGAGGTCACTTGGAGTACGTCCTAGAAAGGAGGAAAGCGACTGAGCTGCGGTTTAAATGCGCATTGAAATAATACTTATTTTATTTATATTTCGTAAGGATTCACTACATTACGGCCCGTTTAAATTATGAAATTGTAAGGGTATAAAATATAAAATTCTATATGTGGCCAAGGCCGTAGAGCCAATCAATGTACACCGTCAATCTGAAATCCAGCCGCTCAGCGGGGGGCTAGTGTTGGAAGACGGACAGCTCGGAGTTAGATGATGTGGGACGGTTCCATTGGCTGAATGAGGGAGCGCGTGGTTCCTAGATCCTTGACTGCCTTTGTAAAAAAGGAGTGCGGTCTGCCCTCGTTTGACTAAATGATTAGTTATAAAAGCGTAATAAATTAATAAATAGCTTATTTCAGGTCGGGCTTCACACGCCAACCGTCGTGTAACGCTCGACGTAAATAGCACGATCTAGAGAGAGAGAGAGAGAGAGAGAGAGAAGAGACGTAAATAACAGAAGTCAATGGCGTATTCATCTCAGCGTAGAAAGACATTTGTCAAGAGCAGCGACGTCAACCAACGAGTCAGTGTGGAGCCTCCGATTAGCTTTGGTGGTCTAGACCAGCGCAGCCTCCCAGACCACATCCTCTGGTCGTCGACGACTCAACGAGCCCATAAATAGGGAGGATGTGGTCCGTTTGAGCAAGAAACATGACCTCTCATTCTTCTTCATCATCATCATTTTCTTAGTCTACTTCATCTTCTTCTCGTGCTGCTGCTGCTGCTGCTGCTGCCGCTCCTCCAATGGTTTTGCGGGGTGTTGCCACGGGAAGGCTGACGGTCGTTCTCGTTGTCGTGGTGGCATCTTGTCTGGGATGTGATGGGAGGGGTTGTCACGACAACGAGCGGAGGGCTTTGCTCGAGATCAAGAATGTTTTCAACCCCTTGAATGGCTCGCTCATGTCACACTGGGGGGACTCAATAACAGAACAGGTAAAAGACTGCTGCCACTGGCCTGGTATAACTTGCAACCCCAGCACCGGTCACGTGGTCGAGCTCCAGTTGAACAGCAACCGTTGGAGTGATGTGGAGGGAACATGGCACCCAAACCTCACCATGTTGGCGGAGTTTGGGCAGCTAGAGAGCTTGAATCTGCGGGTGAATCAGATAGGCGGTGGCATTCCAGAGGGTGAGTAACTTCCCCCAATTGTGACAAGCAACTCGTTCATTTACTTCCGTTATTCTTAAGAAAAATATTTTCGAGATTTGCCCACATCAACGCAAGTATATAGTTGAATCAATCAATTAGCTCCTTCAACTATCTCATCTGCTCACATTTATAAGAAATTTCTTTGTTTGATTTCCTTTATTTGTCTCACAGCTATTTGTCACTTGAAGCTCCTAAAGACTTTGGATCTGTCACACAACAAGTTCGAAGGTTCCATCCCATCATGGTTGTGCACCTTGAAATCCCTGGAAAAACTTGATCTATCTGATAACAGTTTGTTAGGTGACATTCCTTCCTGTTTCGGCAGCTTTCACTTCTTGACATCTCTCGATTTGTCCGGCAACCAATTCCAATGGAATGACTCATCCTGGCTGTGCAACATACATTCCTTGACATATCTCTCTATATCTAACGACAGATCTCCGACTACCATTCCTTCTTGCATTGGGAACTTGAATATGCTTGGTTTCCTAACACTTACTGGTGATTGGTTTAAAGGGAGTATCCCTTCCTCCATCTTCAGTAATCTGACTGACCTGGTCTTTCTTGAAATCAGCAGTAGTAGGTTTGAAGGAACTTTACAATTTTCAGTGCTCGCCAACCTTTCCAATCTTAGAAACCTTCATATCTCCTCATTCGGTGGGTTAGAGATCAACACAGAGTACCCCATCTCTTGGGTCCCATCCTTTCAACTCATACATTTATCCATTGTTGACTGTGTGGTTAATAAGCGTAGTGGTGGTCGATTTCCTTCCTTCCTCAAGACCCAAGGTGGATTACAACAGTTAACTTTTGAGGGCACCTCAGTCCAGGGGACACTACCTGCTCGCTTCTTTTGCAACACTTCTTTATCTGTACTGTCACTAAGTAGAAATCATTTTTCTGGCCCATTTCTTGTCCCTTGCTGTAATGCATCTCAAAATGTTTACGCCATTGATTTATCCGATAATGATCTAAATATGCTGCCTGAGAATATCGGCCTTTTTTTCCCCACGTTAAAATCTTTGAGCATGCCAAGAAACAAGTTGGAAGGGCACATTCCTGCATCCTTGGGGCATACACTCTTATATTGGCTAGATTTGAGTGGCAACATTTTATCAGGAAAATTACCACCCACTTTGATGAGAAATCAGAGCACATTGATTTTATTAGACGTATCTTCTAATCACCTTGAAGGAGAGATGTTCCCCGTTGATGCTGAGATGCCCTCTTTAGATTCTTTGATCGTGCACAACAATAGTTTCACAGGTTTATTTACCCCAAGGTTGGCCAACTTTTCTAGTCTAAGAATAATTCATGCTGGATATAATAGCCTTACATACAATTTCTCTCAAGCCCTACCTTATTTCCCCAATATAGTGGTACTTTTCTTGAGAATGAATCATATTCACGGCTACTTACCCAAACAGTTATGTGAAATGCAGTATCTACGTCTCCTTGATCTTTCTGGAAATAACTTATCAGGAAAACTTTTACCTTGTCTTCACAATATTTCATCTTGGAGGTCAAAAATTCTAGACAGGGCCGCATCTGCATCCTACTCATCATTTACTTCTGACATTGGATGGCAATCTTTAATACCATCACATTCAGGCCTATCGTTAAAGTCAAAAAATTCGATCCGTGAGTACAAAGGTGAGCCTCTGCAGTGGATGACTCACCTTGATTTATCAATGAATATGATTAGCGGCATCATTCCTCAAGAAATTGGAGAGCTGCATGGACTTCAATCATTGGACTTATCCAAGAACCACATCCAAGGTTCTTTACCAAAGTCAATGGCAGACATGTATAATCTGCAAAGTTTAGACCTCTCACATAATGGTTTAAGTGGTTCCATTCCCAGTGAAATGGTACGACTCACCTTCCTTGAAACATTTAGCGTTGCCTTCAACAACATGACGGGTATGATCCCGAATGGTATACAATTTAGAAGTTTTAATGAGAGCAGTTTTGAAGGTAATCCAGGATTATGTGGACCGCCACTAAAGAAAGAATGCTCCTCGAATAATGAGAACACGAAAGGGATAACAATAACAGAAGATGGAGGAAAGTCAAAAGATTACAAGAATGTTTTATTCTCTGCAATTATTACGACGTCATTTAGTCTGGGTTTTTGGGGGTTTCTTGTCAGTTTGTTTTTCAATAAAAGTTGGAGGATGAAATATTTCAAGTTCATCGATCAATTATTGTAACATGTAGTTGAGGGACCCTTGAATCTTCTGGTGTAACCTAGTTAATAGATTTGAATTGAAATGAAATGAAGGTTTCAAGTTTACTGTTTATTGGTTTTCGCAAGTGTTGTATAAATGACTTCGTATGCTAATCTCCAGTGGATGGTTGGGAACTTTTCTTCTAACTAAACTCTTTCTAGTTCATATAGGCCTCGGAAGATACTTTATCCAACTATATTAATAAAATATCCTAGTATAAACAACTCAATATTTATGGTTCATGTTCGGCTCCACACCCCAACCATGACTTCCAGGGAGAGGGAGAGAGAGAGAAGATAACTATAGAACAGAATAAAAGGCAAAAGGAAAGATTTCAGCCAATGAAGAGAGTCAAGTCATTGTCATACTTGACTTCGAAGTCAATGGCGCATTCATCTCAGTGTAGAGAAAGGTATTAGACGTCAACCAACTAGTCAGCGGGGAACCTCCGATTAGCTGGTGATCTAGACGTGCGCACCCCCTCCCACACCACATTCTCTGGACATCGAAGCGTCAACGAGCCCGTAAAGAGGATGTGGTTTGTTTGAGTAAGAAAGACTCCTCCTCCTCTTCCTCCTGCTCCACTGGCATTTTGGGGAGTTGTCTTGGGAAGGCTGTTGGCCTTTCTTGTCGTCACGATGTTGACTTGTATGTAATGCGAAGGGAGGGGTCTTTACTCGAGATCAAGAAGGCTATCAACTTCCCCAACGTTGAGATTTGCCCGGTCGGGGTTGCTGAACAACAGAAGAGGGGAAGGACTGCTGTCGATGGTCTAAGATAAGTTGCGTGGTGGAGATCAAACTAGGAGGCGAGAGGTGAAGTGATGTAGAGGAGGAGACGTGGCACCCAAACCTGATTATGCTAGCAGTATTTGGGCAGCACGAGAGCTTGTGATAGCCGTCCAATCAGATAGTCGTTGGCATTCCAGAGGGTAAATTTCCTCCGATAGTGACAAGCAGAACGTTCTCTATTAAATTATATGCGCTCCCATCCGTCTCATCCGAACGCGCGAATAAGAAAATTTTATATTTCTTCTCTTGTTTGTCTCGCAGTTATTTGTGACCTGAAGCTCACGAAGGCTCTCGATCCTGTCATCGAACAAGTTGGAGGGTTCCATCCGGCAACCATCTCCGAGGGAACTACTCATACTGGTTGTGCCAGATGAGCTCATTGGCAGATCTCTGTCTGTTTAACGACCAATTTCCAAGCAGCATGCCTCTGTGCCTTGGGAACTTGAACAAGCTCAATTCCTCGAGTCTTACCGGCGATGAGTTCAAGGGAAGCATCTCTTGCTCCGTCTTCAGAAATCTAACCGACCTTGGTTTCTCTTGAAATCCAAGTTGGCGGGTTGGAAGGAATTTTACCTGTTCGGTGTTTGCAAACGTTTCCAAACATGAAGATCGACAAGTTGGCGGGTAAATTTCCTTCTCTCTCCTTCCTCCAGACCCAGCGTATGCTACAATCACTGGGACAGGCAGACCGCCGCTGGCGAGCAGAAGCGACGATGAGAGCGGCGCTGAAGCTCCGCGAGAAGAAGAAGAGAGTGAATGAGAAAGTGTGGTGGAAAGAACTAGCATCCGCAGAAGACTAGAGCGAGGTCGGAAATCTAACAAAACATGACTGAAGGCGAGGAAGGCTGCCGCAGTCATGGAGGAAGGGACACCAGGGTTTCCTCTCCAAAAAACGGGATGGATGAATGCACCGGTACAAAAAACCCACATCACAACCCTCTCCCCAAAACCCCCGTCTCCTCCTGGTCTTCTACAGCAGCGGGGAGATCGAAGGTCTTGGGGCCGGCGTGACCGCTCATCTCGACGAAGCCCTCGAGGGCGAGGTCCCTGAAATGGGCCTCGTCGGAGTCGAGGATCTCGAGGACCTGCTGGAAGCGGTGCTGGGGAGAGCAAGGCTATTGGCGGTGGAGAAGCCGAACAACTCGGCGCGGGGGAGGACGGAGGAGAAGACCGGGAAGGTGGGGAAGCGGGTGGGGATGACGAGGCGCCGTCTCTCCGGGTCCACGTAGACGACCAGGAATCCGGCAGGGATGCGGCAGAGGAAGCCCGACCCGCTTCAGCTGCACCACCAGCGACACCTTGTCCCCCCTTCTTCATCGCCGTCGACATTTCCTCCAGAGGATCCGACAGCCCCTTCCATTCACCCTCTCTTCTCCCTCCCCTTTCCTTCCTCCGGTGAGCATCGTAAACATGCAAAGCAGAGATAGGGAGAGAAAGAGGAGAGAGAGAGAGAGAGAGAAGAGATGAAGGAAAGAGGGAGGGAAGGAGGTCACCTGGATCTCTGGGGTGGGGAAAGCATACGAGCGGAGATTTTAAATCCGCATTAAAATAATGCCTACTACATGTAAATTTGATTCAAGGCCCTCGTGAAAGAAGTATGATTGATCACATATCCTGTATAGTGGCCTCTGTAAAACTATAAAATTGATAACAGTGCAAAATATAATATTTCATATGTCGCTAAGGTGGTGAAGCCAATCAATCAGTACCGTCGATCTGAAATTTAGACTCCCGGCAGGAGGAGGGGTCTTTATGAGATGACGGAAAGCGCGGAAATTATCATTGCTGTCTTGGGGACACGGCCCATTGGCCTCTTGTGCAAGTCCACTTTATCTAAACTGAAGCTAAGATTGCAGGAAACATGTTGGAAGGGAGCATTCCAGCATCCTCGGGGCATGTACCCCTATATTCACTAGATCTGAATGACAATAGTTTATTTGGAAAATTCCCGCTAACTTTGACGAGAATCAGACAACATTGCATTATTTAAATGTCTTATAATCATCTCCAAGGAGAGATGTTCCCGGACGATATCAATACATCCACTTTGAATGTCTTGGTCATCAAGAACAACAATTTCACAGGCTCGCTTCTCCCAAAGTTGTCCAACTCTTATGACATTGAAATTGTTGATGCTGATGGAATAGCTTTACAGATGATTTATCGCACAACCTACCCTATTTTCCCCATATGGCACTATTTTCATTGGGAGAGAATAATATTCAGGGCGAATTACCCAAACAGTTATGTCAAATGCAAAACCTATGTCTCTTAGATCTTATTGGAAACAAATTAATAGGAAAATTTTTACCTTGTGTACACAATATTTCATCATGGAGATTAAGAGCAAAACCTGAGATGATTTGAATACAGACCTACGAAAACAATGTACATGTATCCTTCATCTTGAAGAATTCCATCTACTCAAATGAAAGTTATCCTTTCCAAGAGATGACTATCATTGATTTATCAATGAACATGATTAGTGGCATCATTCCATGGGAAATTGGAGAACTGAAGGTGCTTCAGTCATCAAACTTATCAAATAACCAAATCCAAGGTACTCATGATCTCTAAATGGGCTCATCACTTTCGTATCAGACTTAAAAAGGTAATGCATCCACTAGGGAGGCCATAGAGAGACCATCAGAAGACATCATATGGTGCTGGCTTATTAAGATGAGGCTTGAAGGCCATCCATCGACTAAGAGCATAAGCATGCTATTTCAGAAGAGGTAATACATTGTATTACACAAATTTCAGGAAAATATAATTGCAAAAATCTAAAAACTTATTTTAAACATTTTGATAAAATCATGAAAAAATTATATAAGATAATAAACTAACCCAGATTTGACGTGAAATCAGATTCGATCCAAGGAAATCAGATTCTATGGGACCTAATTCTACGTGAAACTTGTGAAATCAGATTTGATCCAAGGAAAGGTTGATATATGAAACCCAAAAAGTAATTTTTGATGATGTGTTGATGATTTTGTCACTAAATCACCAAAGCATGATCATTCGAGGAGATAAAACATTCATTGGATTTATAAGAAAGTAAAGTATTTGAGAAAAATTATAAAGCTAAAAGAAACTATACAATTGGATAAATATATCGTTTGTTACTGAGAAGATGATTTCTAACAATATGCTTGATGATTCTGTCATCAAATCGTTAAAACATGATCATTTGAAAACATTAAATATTGATTGGATTTGTAAGAAAGTAAGATATATGGGAAAAATTATAAACCTAAAAGAAATTTCACAAGTTGATACAGATTTCCCTTCTTCTGCCTTGGTGTCACCGTTGAGGTGTGAGAAGTCAAGGATAGAGAAGAATAATCCGTTAAAAATTGAATAAAATACCATTTGTAAAATGATACTCGTCATCTACAAAATAAAATAGGGTCTAAGGAGTTAAGAAAAGAGAGAAAAGGTGGAGAGCTGATCCTTGCAACCCTAAGGTCTCTGTTGTGCATTACCCAACTGCCACCTCCAGTTTGAGCTTGAAAAAAGATCCTCTTTCATTTGCCCTTTCTTAAGTTTATATACCCACGCCCATTTGGGCCTTTTTTCTCAATCTTTTGCGTGGTCTGATTGAGCCCAATATTTTGGGTGCTGTGTTTAATTCTTTTATGCTCCAATCAGTCTTTTCTCATGTTTGGGGTCTTTGAGCTTTAACATTCCATGTTGATTCTTCTCACTTTGAAAATTTCATGAAAATTAATCTCCTTGGAATAAAATTTTAAAATTTTGAATCCTTCTTCTTAATAGATTTAGACACATTCTTAAGGTGATAAACCTTGGAAAAAGGTTAGAAAGGGTTAGTAATTAAATCCATAAGTTGCATGATGTAGATATAGTTGTTTAAATTCATTTATGTATGTCTTTTGACTTTTGTTCTAATATGAAGAGATATTGTAATTTATTAATATTCATTAATGCAAAATTTAAAGAGAAAATTAATTAAGTTTTAGTGATAAATAAATATTTATCACATCCCCCTACTAAAGTATTGCTAGTCCCTTAGTAATGAATATATAGAAAAATATAAGCTAAGATTGATCACATCATTAAAAATAAATATGCCATTCATCAGGTTATGAATACACTTCAGACGAAGCATGAGTTTAGAATCCTATGGCCAGTGGGGAATATGCACCAAGTCCTTGTCTAAGTGCTCTCTAAATTGTGGTAGGTCCTTGACATCATGAAGTCATTAGTTCTCATCCAAATACTATGTGAAACCTTAGTAGGGTTTAAGGTCAACTCCTCCAAGTCCTTCAAGAGTATCTATTAACCTTCTATCCTCCCTTTCTGCCGAAAAGTAATCAAAGCCTCAATTGCCACTAAGGTTGGGGTAGGCAGACTTTAAGCTTTACATACATTACCTTTTTGCCTTAAGAAGGAGGTTAGATGGTGTAGAGTGAATGAGGTTTAGAAGATGCAGAGTTTAAATCATGGCACTTATAGGCTTTGACTTTAACTTTAACTTTGAGCTTTTTTTTTTTTTTTTTTAACCCCACTCTTAACCCTTGCTCTGTGATATAACTTTTTTTTTTTGGGACTTCGATTTTCTAGGAGCTTCATACTTTTGCTAGCTACCAAGGACTTATAAGATAATATACTTCAAGGTTACTTGGCTGGGAAGGACTCTAAATAAACCCAAGGGGTTGGGGAAGAATAGCTCTTCTTAGTAGGAAACACAAGTAGGTGGAACCAGTGAACTTTAAGAGGACAATGGAGAACTTTAATGCGGAGGACAGCAAGTGGACAAGATTTCAATTTTTTTCCCCCTCCTAGATCATAATCATCCTCTCATACTCATCCAAGATGGACCCACTAAGAAGGATGGCATTGAAAAATGGTACTATAGTAGGGTGTTGCATTAAATATGCTGCAATCTGCATGCTTTAAAATTGAAAATTTGCCAAATTTCATGCAATTTAGCTGATCCCCCCACTTAAATGCCATTGGCCTCAATGGCAAGCATACTACATGCTCATCTATGAAAACATAGATCAGGGGGAAGGATATAACCTGAATTTTTGGAGTCGTTTCGATGTTGTGGCATTGTGGGGCTTCTAATTTCACTATTTGCTTCATTCCTTCTCCTCTATACTTGATTGAAAACAGGAAGAAAAAAAAAAGAAGAGATAACAAAAACAAACAAAACAAAGGGATATCTATTTAAGGTTTGGGGTACCTCCCAAGAGTGCTTTGTTTAATTTCTTTAGCTAGACTCATGTAAACTCATGGATTCGTGAGGAGCAAAGACTCTTTAGATGGTTGAGGATCATGTTCAAGATAGGGTTTCAAACGTTGACCATTCACAATAAAAGATCTATCATTTTTGTGATCAAGAAGTTTAATCGCCCCATTATCCAAAACATGTAAAACAATGTACAGCCCATCCCATGTAGATTTAAGTTTTCTAGGAAATAATCTAAGTCTTGAATTAAAAAGTCATACCTTTTGACCTTCGATGAAGTTCTTCCTCGTAATGTGCTTATCATGATAAGCCTTCATCTTCTCCTTATAGATTTTTGAACTTGTATATGCTTCATTCCTTAGCTCCTCAAGTTCACTCATTTGGAGAACTCTTGCTTTGCCTACCCCATCTATGTCTATATTCAATTGCTTGATGGCTCAATATGCTTTATGTTCAATCTTGACAAAAAGGTGACAAACTTTACTAAAGACTAACCTATAGGGTGACATTCCTAAGGGAGACTTATAAGTTGTCCTATAAGCCTAAACTGCATCTTCTAATTTTTGAGATTAATCTTTCCTATCGGTTCTAATGATTTTTTGAAGTATCCTCTTGATTCCTCTATTGCACACCTCTACTTGACCATTGGACTGTGGATGATAAGATGTAGAGATCTTGTGGGTGACTTTGTTATTTCTCAATAATGCTTTGAATTGAGAATTAATGAAATGTGTACCATTGTCACTAATAATAGTCCTAGGACACCCAAATTTAGAGAAAATATTACTCTTCAAAAACTTCAAGACAACCTTATGGTCATAAGTCCTAGTAGGTATTGCTTTAATCCACTTGGAAACATAATCGACAGCCACTAAGATACACTCATATCCAAAAGGAGGAAAAGGACCCATAAAGTCTATCTCTCAAACATTAAAGATTTCTACTACTATGATGGGCTGTAAACGCATCATGTATTTGGCTGAAATGTTAGTGGATGCTTGACATTCTAAGTAATACTTAGCATGCTGAAATGAATCCTTAAATAATGAAGGCCAATAAAATCCACTTTGCAATACCTTAGCTGTAGTTTTCTTATTCGAGAACTGACCTCTACTTGGTGAAGCATGGCACATGTGAAGAATGTTTTCTTGTTCCTCCTCTACAACACATCTTCTCAAAATGTTATCAGGCCCTAATTAAATAAATAACATTTATCCCATAAGAAATATTTGATTTTAGCAAAGAAAAGATTTTTCTCATGAGTAGACCATCATTTAGGTACTTGACCTATTACCAAGTAATTGATGGTGTGCATACTAAGGAGGATTATATCTACTACTAATATTTAAAATATGTTCATCAAGAAAAGAATCATTTAACTCCTTGTTATCATTTCCATTAATCTTAGAGAGATGAACAACAACTACATTATCAAATCCTCATTTATCCTTAGTTTCAAGATCAAACTCTTGTAATAACAAGATCCATCTAATAAGTCTAGGCTTGGAATCTTTCTTACCTAAAAGATATTTCAAGGCTGCATGATCAGGTTAAATAATGATTTTAGATCCAAGTAAATAAGCTCTAAACTTCTCTAAAGCAAAGACAATGGCCAATAATTCTTTTTCAGTGGTAGTATAGTTAGATTGGGCCTCATCTAATGTCTTACTTGCATAATATATGACCATTGGTTTTTCTTCAATTCTCTGCCCTAAAACAGCACCCATAGCACAGTTAAAAGCATCACACATAATTTCAAAAGGTTTCCCCCAAGTAGGAGATCTCAAAATTGGTATTTATATCAATATATTTTTAAGGGTGTTGAAGGCTTCTAAACACTCATGGGAAAAAATAAATGCATTGTCCTTGGCTAAGAGGGAAGTCAATGGCCTAGAAATCTTGGGGAAGTCTTTAATAAATCTTCTATAAAATCCAGCATGTCCTTAAAATGACCTTAGTCCTTTTAGGGTAGGAGGTAAATCTCAAATTATACATACCTTTGCTTTATCTACCTTAATTCCTCTTTCACTTATTACATGTCCAAGAACAATTCCTTATTTAACCATGAAATGGCTCTTTTCCCAACTTAGAACAAGCTTGGACTCCACACATCTAGCCAAGACTTGCTTGAGATGTCCTAAACAATCATCAAAAGAAGATCCAAAAATAGAAAACTCATCCATGGAAACTTCAAAAAAATCACCTAGCATATCTAAGAATGAAGAGATCATGCATCTTTAGAAAGTGGTTGGAGCATTACATAATCCAAAAGGCATCCTTGTAAATGCAAATGTACCAAAAGGACAAGTGAAAGAAATCTTCTCTTGGTCATTAGGGTGAATAGTTAATTGATTATACCCTGAATATCCATCAAGAAAACAAAAATATATTTTTCCAGTCAACTTTTCAAGAATTTGATCAATAAAGGCAAAGAAAATGATCTTTTTTAATGGCTAAATTTAACTTCCTATAATCAATGCATACTAACCATTTAGTAGGTGATAAGTCTTCATTATCATGAGTTAATAATTAGTAAATAATATAGTTTTAGCCTTAACTCATGATAAATAGACTTATATTTGTGTTAAAGTATGATTTGTGGTTTTCAGTTGATTAACATGAATTTTTGGGTAATTATGTGATTTTATACAATTTTTACAGTCTTACTTTTGAGATAAATGAAGAACAAGAAATAAAAATAAAAATATTGTAAAATGGGGGGGGGCCTGCCGGCCAGCTAGGCCAGCAAGCGGGTCAGAAGCGCAGTCAGGGAGTAGCTGCGAGCAAGGGCTCGAGCGGCTTAGCTTGGACCGATAGGGGCATGTGTGCGCCACTCCCCTTCCACGTCACTGGTGGCCAGTCGGCTGTGGGGCAAGGAGTGGTCGTACACGCGAGAGAAGGGACTTTGCTTACAAAGCTAACATTACTATATATTCGCCCGAAAAATCGGCGCACAACTGATGTGGGACTAAACCCGCGTCACACCTTCCTTAGAGGCGGGCGACCGGCGCAGGTTCAAATCCTCCCAGAGTCAAAATTCATATATTTTTATCTGATTATCACGACTTTCCTACAGATCGCGGTGAAGGATTAAGCAACGAGAATTGCTGGATCATCAGTGAAAATCTCGTCAACGCGATTCGCGGAGTATTGCTATTAAAATTGCTGAATGATTCGTGATAAAAGGATCGCGAATCCATCGAGTAAATCATCTCTGATTGATCGATGAACAAGCCGTCATTAGGAAGAGGACGATCCACCAGGAGACGAGTCACCACCTCCTGAGAGCATACCAGATGCGATGAAGAGACTCCTCTTGCTGCGTGGACCTGAGGATGAAGCTCCTTGACACGCGCCCCACCTCCATCCAGCTCCTCTCCGTCGGGTGACAGCCGCCGGAGAGCCACAAAGTTACTATTTTTCTGCTCTGCCGGGTGACCGCCGCCGGAGATGATTCGACGACTTACTTCATTGATCTCTAGACTTTGCGAGAAGATCTAGAGATTGCCCATGTCGTCTTTGTCCAAGAAGAGCCTTCGAGGCCGTGGATACTACACAATGATCCTCCCGAACGCTCAGGATTCCGGTGCATCGCCGACGCATCGCTGTCGCAAATCCTGGAACTTTATTTTCCTGTCTTCAATTTACTTTACGCTTCATTTAGTGATAATTTTTTGTGTTTTTAATTTACCAAAACATACTTTGTTCTATTATGATTCTTCCGGCTATTACGTAAGAATCGTCGGGTGGAACTCTATTTCCGCCCGATTCGCATTCGTCAGGCACTGATGTCATCTTGACATCCACGCCCTTATTTTCCTTTTTCGTGAATTTTAAATATATTTCCTTTTTATTTTCTAGTATAAAATTCATAAAAAATCTTATTCATTGAGAAAAATTCTGAATAATTACCAGATATTATATTACATCCTTGTAATCGACCTAGAAAATTACCGCTATTTTTGGAAGTTTTATTAAACTATAATTGATATATTTATTTAGAAATACTTCTAAATACCTGAAATTCGTATTTTCTAGTTTTATAAATTTTATATTTGCGTGATTTAATATACAAAGACTAAGTCATGTCAGTAGGCAACCTAGTTTTTATTTATTCACCATGCTTATTAGTTGATATGGTTAGGCTTGATTTGTTTGGCACAACTTGAATGGGACTAACCCATTGGCTATCTGAAATAGAGTAAATAAAACTAGCCTCTAACCATTTAATAATTTCATTTTTAACTACTATCATATTTGGATTTAGTCGCCTTTGACACTCACATGTAGGTTTAGTATTTTCATTCAATTTTTTTTATGCATGCATATATCAAGACTAATACCTTTTAAATTACTCATATGCCATCCTAACGTACCTTTATATTCTTTTAAAAAAGAAAGTAATTTGGATTCTTCATTAGAAGTTAAATGAGATGCAATAATGGTAGGCATAGTATCATTAGGTCCTAAAAATGTAAATTTCAAGTTATCCGAAAGAGGTTTACGGTCTAAGTTATTGTGAGCATTCAAAGGTAAAACAATTGGTTCATGTGAAGGATTTTCAAATATTTCTTGCAAACCAGAAGATAAATTTTCAAAAGAAGTATCAAACATACATACCTTCTCAATGATTGAATCAACTACATTGTACTCTTCTCCTTCATCTTCTTCCTTAGCAAACTTAGCTGCCTTAAATACATTTGATGAAATATGATGACCACCACAAGACATATGTAATATTCCAGTGGCAAAATTTATATTAGCACTAGCTGTAGCTAAAAATGGACGTCCTAAAATAATAGCTGATTCTTTAAGATTTTTAGGTGATGTCATCTCTAGAACTGAAAAATCAACTAGAAAATAGCATCCTTCAATATTGATTGTAACATCCTCAATTAACCCTTTAGGATATCTAATAGATCTGTCCCCTAAAGAGAGAATAATACCAATGGGTTTTAATTCTCCTAAATCAAAATTTTCAAAAAGGTAAGTTGGAAGGAGATTCACATTCACACTCACACCCAAATCTATTAAAGCCTTGTTGAAAGTCATACCTTTTATGCAGCAAGAGACAAGTGGGCCCCTTGGATCTTTTCTTTTCTTGAGAATTTCATTTAAAATGATAGCACTAATGTCAGCTGAAAGGTTAATTTTCTTGCTTTCTCTCTTTGGAGTACAAAGATATTTCAAAAATTTAGCATAAGATGGAACATGTCAAATAGCATCAACCAAAGGGATTTTAATTTGAACTTTGGAAAATAATTCTTGTAATTCATGCTCATCAATATGCTTCTTTTTATCTTTTAAGTGAGGAAAAAGAGCTGAAGGAAAAGGAGTAGGTGGACTATTAGCTTGGGTCTCTTTAGATAGCTCTATCTCTTTTTGATTATCTTTTTCTCCACTCTCACCAAGCTCTTTTAAGATGGATTTTCCTTCTTTTCTTCCTCATTATCTCTATCTCTATTTTCATTTTCTTGATCAGAAATAATATTTTCTTTCTCCTGTACATCATCCCCTAATTTAGGTAAGCTTGGATCACTCAAAGGCATCCTAGTGGCTTTGTGTATCAACTTACCATTCCTAAATCTTGTCACCTCCTTAATCTCTTCTATTTGAGATCCTTGGCTACTACAAGAGCCTTGACAACTAATCATGGAGGTGGTAGGGATAGAAGGTGTAAAACCAGGAGAATAATTCTTAGGATTAGCTATGGCTTAAATAGGGAGTTGCCCTCTAGGGTTTACCTCATTTGGTTGACTCTCTTGATTGTTTGACCTCTAAAACATTTGCAATGTTTGTTGATTTTGGGCCATTAATTATGTCATAGCTTTCTGTTGTTGTTGCAATTGATCCTTCAAGGAATTAACAGTCTCTTCTAAATGAGCATTAGGAACATGAGATGGAGCTCCTAAGGGCACTCTATTATGCATAGGATGTGGAAAACGGTTTTGAGGATATGGGGCAATTTGAGAAGGTATTTGATTTTGAAAAGGAGACATCTGATTTTGAAAATTAGAGTTAAAAATAGACGGGTTTTGAAAATTTTGGAAATTTTGAGGATATAAAGGATTTTGTGATGAAGGATTTGTATTTTGAAAACTATGAGATGGAGGTTTTGAAAATTGCATGCCTTGAGGACTTGAATTCCAAGTAGAATTTTGATGAGGATAAGAATTAAAATCAGGTTTCAAAAATACATTGACATGCTCATGATCAAGATTCATAGATTATAGAAATGTAGGACAAGATTCTCATCATGACCAATGCTAGTACAAATAGAACAAACTGAATTTTTCAAAGTTGGGGTTTTAGAGTTTTGTGTACCTTGAGAAGAGAGTAGCTTCTCCAACTTCTTGTTGATCTCATTGACTTCATTCCTCAAATCCTTATGTGCATGCTTGATCAATTCATAAACACCATCTTTTTTCAAGGGAGGATTAGTTCTATCAAAATCCAAAGAGGCATAATTGTAAGAATTTTCACTCAATTCTTCTAGAAGGTTATACACATGATCTTCAGTCTTTTTAGCATAAGAATCACCACATGATGCATCAATAAGTTGTTTATGTTGATAGTTTAATCCTTCATAGAAAATTTGAACAAGTTGTCATTTAGGAACACCATGATGAGGGCATTTTTGAAGCATACTTTTATATCTATTCCAAGCATCATGTAAAGATTTATTAACGTTTTGAGAAAAACCCATGATCAATTTTCTCATCATATTAGTTTTTCCACGAGGATAAAACTTTTTAAGAAATTCCTGAACCAATTTAGACCATGTAATATTTCTCAAATTAAGAGTGGAAATCTAGTGACTTGCTTCTCCCTTAAGTGAGAATGGAAATAGAGTAATTTTCAAGGAATCATCAGCACACTTTATAGTTGCACATATTTTTAGAAGCTCTTGTAAATGATTGTAAGTGTTTTCATTTAAATTTCTATAGAAATTTAGTAAAATCTTAAAAAAACCTGGTTTAATATCATGCAAGCAATTAGGGTTTTCAAAAAGTTCAATGCCATTAGATGGATTAAATATTCATTCATAGACTTAGGCTCCTCATTAACTTGCTCAAGATTTTCACTCATATTATCCATTCTAGTATGTTTAGAGCTTTTAGAAATTTTAAAGGTAGGAGGACATTCTAATGAAATCAAATCAGGGTTTAGAGATCTCCTACTAAGAAAAATCAGGCAAAAATCTAGAGTTTAGAAATACCTCTAGTGATTTACCACCTTTGGGGTATGTGCATTGAGTTTTGCTTGATCCTTTTTTTTTTCTCTCTACAAAAAAAACACATTCTCAAGGTGATAAACCTTGGAAAAAGGTTAGAAAAGTTAGTAATTAAATCCATAAGTTGCATGATGTAGATATAGTTGTTTAAAGTCATTTATACATATCTTTTGACTGTTATTCTAATATGAAGAGATATTGTAATTCATACTTATTATGATTCATTAATGCAAAAGTTGAAGAGAAAATTAGTTAATTTTTAGTGATAAATAAATATTTATCACTGTCCAAATTATCAACTTGAAGTAACCATTTCTGATAAGATATTTTTTATGAAATATGATATGTTGATCATTACCCATAAAGGTTTTTAAGTTATCGTAAAGTTGGAGTGTCCAATGTCTTGGAAAGAGGAGCTACTCCAATGATGTATAAAAATGTTTCACAAAAGGCAACTCATCCTCAATCCAAGGCATAATATGGCGAAGCATTTTTAGTTTACATTTAACTAACCATATTAATATACATATCCGGGGTGTGGATGGGCGTCTAAGTATTTTTCTTGCTGCTTCAACAGTCTCTGTCGATAAAAGTGAGCTAATCACTTTACGATGGAATTTTAATTCTAAAAGTGTATCCCCATATTGTATGCGGACCTTCTTTGGTGAAGGCTTATAAAGGCAGTAAACAGACCCAGCTCATGAACTGGTCGCTGCCGACGTATGCCGGCAGATCGAAGGGCGACCTGTCATTGTGCCGTCATATCACTATCTCCCATGGCATCCATCTGACACCTTCTCCTTGCAGAAGAAGGCTGATGGAGGCTTCTAGCATGCGTTTTGTACTTAGAGTGTTGAATATAGCCTTGGCTGTAGTGAAAACCCCGCAGCAGTATGAGTTGAGGATGACTGTTGCTTGATCGAGATCTGTTCTTCGGAGGGGAAGGAAGATTTAAACAATGTCCACTCTCGCATCAATGGTGAAATTTAGCGGGGAGAGGTTCTACATTTAAAGATGGGAGAAGTGTTAATGAAGTTTAAGGAAGCCACTAGATGGGCGGCTGCATTTTAGAGGGTTGTGTCTGCTTGTTATCTTGCACTCTATTTTTCACAACTTCCCTGGGTTCCACGTATTTGTAAGGTATTTATTTACAGTTTTTTTCCCTGGGGACTTGTCGGAGGGCATGGCAGATGCCGGAAAGCTGAAGAGGGGTGACAGGAGAGACACAAGAGAGGCTATGCTAGAGAGAATACATATAGAGGTACGCACAGCCACTGTGTGTGTGTGAGTGAGATAGAGTGAGTGAGAGAGAGAAAGAGAGCGAGACACACAAACACACCACACAGATAAATAGAGGGAGCCAGAGAAAGAAAGATAGAGTGAGCTAGGGAGAGAATGAGAAAGAGAGAGAGAGACAGAGGCAGAGAGGCCGAGAGACAGAGAGACAGAAACAGAGACAGACAGCGACAGACAGAAAGAGACGTAAAGTCAGAGAGACAGAGATAAATAAAACGAGCCAGAGATGGATAGAGTTGGCGAGGGAGAGAGAGAGAGAGAGAGAGAGAGAGGGAGAGAGAGAAGTAGCAGGTTGGATATTCAGAGTGAATGGGGGGTCCAGGTGAAAGACGGCGGAAAACAGGCCTGGCCCTATGACAATTTAGAAGTTTTAATGAGCAGTTTTGAAGGTAATCTAGGATTATGTGGACTGCCACTTAAGAAAAAATGCTCCTATGACAATGAGGGAGCGAAAGGGATAACAACAGAAGGCAAAGGAAAGTCAAAATATTACGAGGATGCTATATTCTTTTCTTTCGTTATGACGTCATTTACTGTGGGTTTTTGGAGTTTTCTTGCCAGCCTCTTTTTCAATAAAAGTTGGAGGATGAAATATTTCAGGTTCATCAATCAATTATTGTAACATGTAGTCGAGGGACCTTTGAAACTTCCAATGTCCTAGTTAATAGATTTGAATTGACATGATTTTTGAAGTTTACTGTTTATTGGTTTCGCAAGTGTTGTATAATGACTTTGTATGGTTATCTTTTCTAGTTCATATATGCTTGGAAAGATAGTATATCCAACTGTAATAATGAAATATCCTAGTGTAAATAACTCAATATTCATGACGCCAATGATGGCGGAGGGGCAGTGTAAGCTCAGGGACCTCCACCGTCTCATAAGGTGCTCCAGCTGCACCATCATCATGGCACCCACCATTTCCTGGAGAATATCGGACAGCCCTTCCCTTCCCTGTCTCTTCTCGCTTTCCATTTCCTCCTTCGGCGAGATTCATACACACAAAGAAGAGAGAGCGAGAGAGAGAGAGAGAGAGTGCAAAGAGAGGGCATTTTAGGGAGTTGTCTCGGGAAGGCCATTGGCCGTTCTCATCGTCACGATGTTGACTTGTATGGGATGCGAAGGGAGGGTTTGTCACGATGACGAGTGGAGGGCTTTGCTCGAGATCAAGAAGGCTATAAACTTCCCCAACGGCTGGGGTTTGCCCTGTTGTATTTGGGCAGCTCGAAAGCTTGTGTTAGCCGTCCAATCAGAGAGCCATTGGCATTCCAAGGGTAACTTTCCTCCAATAGTGACAAGCAGAACGTTCTCTATTATATTATATGCACTCCCATCCGTCTCATCCGAACGTGCGAATAAGAAAATTTTCTATTTCTTTCCTCTTGTTTGTCTCGCAGTTATTTGTGACCTGAAGCTCACGAACGCACCTGATCTTGTCATCGAATAAGTTGGAGGGTTTCATCCCTTCATTTCTGTGTACCTTCAGATCCGGCAACCATCTTCAAGGGAACTACTCATACTAGTTGTGCAAGATGAGATCATTGGCAGATCTCTCTCTATTTAAAGACAAATTTCCAAGCATGCCTCTATGCCTTGGCAACTTGAACAAGCTCAACTCCTTGAGTTTTACCAGTGATGAGTTTAAGGGAAGCGTCCCTTACTCTGTCTTCAGAAATCTAATCGACCTTGGTCTCTGATGTGACATAGTCATTGTATAGTAAATCACACATATTTAAAATTTATAAAACTAAAAAATACGAATTTTTAGATATTTAGAAGTATTTTTGAACAAATATATCAATTATAATTCAATTAAACTTTCAAAAATAGCAATAATTCTCTAGGTTGATCATAGAGATGTAATATAATATTGGGTAATTATTCAAAATTTTCCTCAAAGAATAATATTTTTTATAAATTTTATACTAAAAATAAAAATAAAATATATTTAAAATTCACAAAAAAGAGAAATAAGGGTCCAGACATCAAGATGACATCAGTGCCAGACGAACATGAATCAGGCAGAAATAGAGTTCTGTATGACAATTTTTACGTAAGTGATTATAGACGATTTAATTGATCAAATTAAGATCTATAAAAATTAAAAGAATCGTAATTGAATGAAGTATATCATGGTAAATTTAAATCATACAAACTATCACTAAATGAAGTGAAAATTAAATTAAAAGCAAGAAAATAGAGTTCCGGTATTGTGGCGGTGATGCATCGGTGATGCGTTGAAGTCCTAAGTGATTAAGAGGATTGTCGTGTAGTGTCCACGGCCTAAAAGGCTCTCTTTGGACAAGGACGACGTGAGTAATTTTTAGATCTTCTTGTGAAGTCTAGAGATCAATGAAATGTGTCGTTGAATTGTCTTCGGTAGGTGTCATCCAGCGGAACAGAAAAATGGTGACTTTGCGACTCTCCGGCGGCTATCACCCGACAGAGAGTAGTTGAATGGAGGTGAGGTGCGTGTCAAGGAGCTTCATCCTTAGGTCCGTGCAGTAAGAGGAGACTCTTCATCGCATCTGACTGCTCTCAGGAGGTGACAACTTGTCTCCTGGCAGATTGTCCTCTTCCTGATAACGGTTTGTTCGTTGATCAATCGGAGATGCCTTACTTGATGGATTCATGATCCTTTTATCGTGAATTGTTTAACAATTTTAGTGACAATACTTTGCGAATCTCATTGATGAGATTTTCGCCAATGATCTAGTAATTTTGGAAGCTTAATCCTTCATTGGCGATCTGCAAGAAAATTGTGATAATCAAATTAAAAATATGAGATTTTGGTTCTGAGAGGATTCGAACCCGCGTTGGTTGCCCGCCTGCATGAGATAGATTGACATAAGTACTCTAATGTCCTGATGAAATGACATCATCATAATATATCTCTATTATAAATAAGGGGTATTATAGGTATTAAAATCATCGAAGCCTTTTGAGAAAGGTGTGCCACAAGTTTAGTCCCACATCACTTGTGTGCCAAAGTTTTGAGCGAATATATAGTAATATTATATTTACAACTAAGTCCCTTTCTCTGATGTATACGACCACTCTTTGTCCCACAACTGACTGGCCATGGATGACATGGAAGGGAAGTGGCACACATGTGCCCTATCGGTCCTAGTCGCTCAAGCCCTTGCTCACAGATCCTCCCTGATTGCGCTTCCAACCCGCTTACAGGCTTGGCTGGCCAATGGGTCCCCCCTATTTTGCTATATTTTTATTTTTATTTCTTTTTCTTCATTTATCTCAAAAGTAAGACTGTAAAAATCATATAAATTTGTATAAAATCACATAATTACCTAAAAAATCACATTAATTAATTGAAAACCACTTTCCACACTTTAACATAAATATAAGTCTATTTATCATGAGTTAAGGCTAAATATATATTATTTACTAATTATTAACTCATGGTAATGAAGACATCAGTAATTTTTTAGAATTTTCCTCAAAGAATATGATTTTTTTAGAATATATTTAAAATTCACAAAAAAAGAAAATAAGGGTGCTAACGTCAAAATGACGTTAGCGCTTGATGAATGTGAATGAGGTGAAAATAGAATTTCACCTAGTGATTTTTACGTAAGTAATTACAAACAGTTTAATTGATCAAATTAAGATCTATAAAAGTTAAAAGAATCATAATTAAATTAAGTATAAATTGATAAATTTAAATCACACAAATTATTACTAAATAAAGTAAAAATTAAGTTGAAAGTAGAAAAATAGAATTCCAACATCGCGACAGTGATCCATCAGTGATGCACCCAAATCTTAAGCATTCGAGAGGATCGTCGTGTAGTGTCCACGACCTCAAAAGCTCTCTTTAGACAAGGACAATGTGAGCAATCTCTAGATCTCTTTGCGAAGTCTAGAGATCAATGAAATGGGTCGTCGAATCGTCTTTGATAGCTGTCACCCGATTGAACAAAAAAAAGAGGACTTTGCAGCTCTCTGGCAGTTGCCACCTAACAAAAAGAAGCTGAATGTAAGTGGGGTGTGTGTTACGGAGTTTCATTCTCATGTTCGTGTAGGAAGAGGAGGCGGCAACTTGTCTCCTGATGGATCGTCCTCTTTCTGACAATGGCTTGTTCGTCGATTAGTTAGAGATGATTTACTCAATAGATTTGTGATCCTTTTATCGCAAAAGTATTCAGTAATTTTAGTAACAATGCTCTGAGAATTGCATTGATGAGATTTTTGCCGATGATCCAACAATTCTAGCGGCTTAATCCTTCATCGGCGATTTACAGGAAAGTCATGATAATTAGATAAAAATACAAGTTTTGACTCTAAGAGGACTCAAACTCACACTAAGTTTTTGTCTACATGAGAGAGATTAAAATAAGTACCCTAATGCCCTTATCAACTAAGATCATCATAGTATATCTCTATTATAACGAAGGGGTAGATTAAGTATTAAAATTTTCAAAACCTTTTGAGAGAAGGTGTGATGTAGGTATAGTCCCACATCACTTGTGCATCAAAGTTTTGGACGAATATATAGTAATATCACATTTCGAAGTAATGAGTCCCTTTTTTTTGCATGTACAACCACTCTTTGCCCATAGCCGGCTGACCACCGGTGACGTGGAAGGGAAGTGGTACACACGTGCCCTTATTGGTCCTAGCCGTTCGAGCCCCTACTTCTGGCTCCTCTCTAACTGCACTTCCGACCAGCTTGCGGGCTTGGCTAGTCAATGGGTTCCCCTCATTTTGCTATATTTTTATTTTTATTTCTTTTTCTTTATTTATCTCAAAAATAAGACTATAAAAATTATATGAATTCATAGAAAATCACATAATTAGCCAAAAATTCATATTAATCAACTAAAAACTACTTTTTAAAATTTAACACAAATATAAGTCTCTTTATCATGAGTTAAGGCTAAAACTATATTATTTACTAATTATTAACTCATGATAATGAAGACTTATCAATTATCTTCAATAAAAATATGATGCATACATACCTCAAGGTCGATGCCTTGTATATCTATCAAAGTCCACCCAATTGCTACTTTATATTTTTTTAATATCTCGAGTAATCTTCAATCCTGCTCACTTGTTAATAAAGATGAAATAATTACAGGGAATGAACAATTTAAGCCCAAAAATGCATACTTCATAGGTGTAGGCTATGGCTTGAAATTTGGTGGCATGCTGGATTTATTCAAAGCAGATTTCTCTTCAATTGGGTTCATTGTATCCTCCAACGCACAACTTGTCTCTCTATGACAAAGTTCATCTGCACACTCATCAATGATATCAATATTACATAAATTTTCAGAGTAATCTAGATATTTTAATAATTTCGAGATATTTAATTCTACTCTCTCTTGGCCAAATTTAAGATCTACAGTTCCTTTTTCGCAATCCATTGTGGCTTTAGCTGTGGCTAAGAATGGCCTTCCAAGGATTATTGGAGCATGGGTTGTGTTCTCCAATGATCTTCATATCTGCAATAATAAAATCAGCAGGAAAATAAAAGTTTTCTATCTTCACAATTACATCCTCTACTATTCCATATGGCTAGCGGATTAATCCATCCGCTAGCTGCAATTCTACGAAGAGGGGTTGTAAATCACCAATTTTATTTAAATCATACAAAGCCTTGGGTAAAATATTCACACTAGCTCCTGAATCAAGTAATGAACGTATGAAAACCATACCTTGGATCTCGCATTTGATTAGTGGAGCACCTGGATCATGCTTCTTTGTCAGAATATGATTCAGCAAAATTGAGCTAATTATTTCAGACAATTGAATTCTCTTTTGCTTCGTTACTGGAGTGCATAAATTCTTTAAATTTTTTGCATAAGACAATGTGTTGAATGGCATCAACTAATGGTATATTGATTGTTACTTGTTTAAAAATTTCAAGGATTTCTCATCAGAATCAGCACTTTTTAGTTTAACATCACATAAGGCTTCAGGAAATAGAATCAGGGGTGTAGAAATGGAAGGGTTGGGTTCCATACCTTCCTTGTTTTTACCCTTATTCTTTGTCAAAATCACCTCATCCGATGCTTTCATTTCTTCCTCCTCATCCTCTGCTTCACCTGCAGCAGCATGATATGGATCTGAAAGTACCTTACCATTTCTCAATTTGGAGACTGCATTGAGTGTTTCCACGGTTCTGGTCTCTAAGTTCAACTTGGTGCACTTGGCGTTGATTTGATGGTCCTCCAGTATTTCTTGGATTAGCATCTGGTTGCGTGGGTAATTGTCCTAATTCTCTATTGCTATTACCCACTTCTATCCTCTTGCCAAGATGCTTATCTGATCTGATTTGATCAGATTGGTATCAGCCTTCAATTTGGAACTTCATATGCTCCATTTCCTGTCGTAGTTCCCTTTGTTCCTGCAATATTTGCTTCAATAATTCCTGTGTAGATAAATCATTAAATCCTATAGGTTGCTGAATCTGATGGTTAGGCATAAGGGAATCATAGCTAGAATTATTCATCCTCTGCATAGATGAATTCTGTGAATAATTAAAATGATTAAGCCATTGTTCATTATCCTGATTTCTTCTCCAGCCAGAATTTTGATTCATATCTATTTGATTATTCTTGAAATTTCTGCTTTAATTCTGATTTGACCCTTGTCTTTGCCATCCATTTCCTGCATGGTTAGAATGGAATTGATTGACTCCCATCACCTGATCATACTTTGGGCAGTCGACCTTCACATGTTCATAACTTAAGCATAATACACAGTCCACCATATCTTGATTTGTTTTCAGTTGTTGGTGGTCAAAACCTGTTGCTGAAGACTTTTGCATCAACCCCTGCACACACTTGGTTAGTTTCTCCACTTTGTCAATTGATAAACCAGTTTCTACATTTTTCAAATCATGAATACCTCTTTTCCTAGGTCCCGTAAACCTACCATTTTGATTTAGAGCATAATGGTGTGCGCTGTTCTTGGCTAATGTTTCAATCAATTCTATTGCTTCATCCTCATATTTATTCATAAATGTACCTCCTGAAGCTACGTCGATCATATGCCTGTCCTTCTCATTTAATCCTTCATAGAAAATTTGGACCAATTGCCAATTCTGAATTCCGGGTGTAGTCTTTAACCCTCTCCCATGCCTCATAAAAATACTCCTGCAGCACCTGCACAAAATCTCTAATAGCTCTACAAATTGAGTTAGTCTTACCTACTGAATAAAATTCCTTTAAAAATGCTGCCTCCATCTCACTCCAAGAGTTCAGCTCTTGAGCTAATGCCCGCAGCCAATCCTTTGCTTTATCTTTATGTGTGAATGGAAAAAGTTTCATCTTCACGGTCTCAATGGGAACATTAGGATAATGAGAAATTTCACAAACTTGGGAAAAATCTTCTAAGTGTTTATATGGCTCCTCATGAGCCATGCCATGAAAATGGGGTAGCGTTTGCACCAAATGATGATCAACTCTAAAGTTTGTATTATTTTCTATGGGTGCATTCATCCTATTTATGGGTCTATATTGAAGGGGTACTGAATGGTCATGCAACTGCATCCTCTTATTCTCCCTCTGGTTGTCTTCCATTTCCCTTTCTTGTTCAAGATTCTCCTCAATGTGAGATGTATTTTCTGTCCCTAAATTGAAAGGAATTTCCTTATTTTTGACTGATCTATGTCCTTGCATCAAAATATGTTAGGTGAATTAAACGCTAGAAGAATGGCGGATGAACTGAAATCAAACACTCAAAGATGTCTTGAGTAACCTCCTTTTTGCCAAGATAAAATATCAAGGAGAAATTCAAATATGCTCAGTTTAAGACATGTAAATTTTTTATCTTGAAGTCTAATTAGTCAAATACTCGTGATGATTCAATAAAGAAAGTAAGTTGACAGAGATTTGTGGATATCGATTCAAGTCAGTCTTCTAAAAAAAATTTGATTAAACATAAGTAGAGGTAGCAAAATCTCTGATTTTCACATCTTATACCTTATTCACAAAGACTTCCTTATATAGGTTGATTTGCACCCATGTACACCTTTCTGCTGAAGATCAAAATCAAGAAACTAAAAGAGTTATCAACTCAATCAACATAATTAAACTCAAAGGACACATGAATTCCCCAACAATGGCACCATTTGATAGGTCTATTTCGAGGGTCGTTGAATATCCCCAAAATTGATTTATCAACAATATTGATACTCCCATATTTACTCCTTTAAATTATATTTTGAATTAATCTAATACTACAGTAAGCTAGGGGGTCAGTCCTTAGGGAATGGTGGGTAGAGTTAACTTTTATATGTTGATCAGAATTGATATAAATGACGAAGACCATGAAGCAGAAGAAATAAGAAACGAAAGGGAAGAAAGGTGGGTGAAGTGTGAAACGGGTTTAACAAAATATGGGTGAAGTCACATAGTCAAAGGAATTGCGTGAACAACTCTAATGCTAATCACAATCTACTTCCTAACTATGAACATCCTACTCATTGGTTCTTTGAAACCAACTTGATTATCACCATGTCTCCTTTGTTATTTTTGCTAGGAGGAGGCGATAGCTGCTAGCCATGGGAGGGAACCTTGTTCAAAGCAAATCACCTGACGGAGAACGGACGACACATCTTCGATTATGAGGTATGGAGCTTGGGACCCTTCAAACTCTGCTAGGATGGCAACTGCCTGAAGTTCCACTAAGATAAGCTGGGTTTTTCATCCTTGATACACAGTATGTATACGATGGAGCCCCTCCTCTCTCTAATTCTTACAATGCATGATTAACCCTTAAATCCACGGCTGAGCTGCTCCCTTCTTGCATGGATGGTGGATCCCTCTTTCACGCCTTCCTATGTGCCTCTTGATAAGTATGCATCTCGACTATTGAATCAATGCGTCCTTTCTTTTGAGTGGACAGTGAATCCTCCTTCTCCCCTCTTTGGGTGATGCCTTCTAAGTGAATATTGGCCTTATGCCCATAACTCTTTATTTGAGCCCACTTTGCTTCCTTCTCCTTATGTGATTATGAGCCTTAAACTCATGATTCTTCACTCTATGACCAAGTGCAATCTTTGCTCCTTAATAAGTTGTATGCTATGCTGAACATATGAAACTCACATGGTTAGAAGACAAGGAATTACATTGTGTTCTCACACGATGCACATACGGTATCTAAAAGTATATAATCTAATGAGAAACAAATGAAATACGTAAAATATGTTTGAATGTCAATGCATGCCCTAAACATGAGAGTTCATTAGTAAATCAATGAATTTGCATCTTAAAATCACAAGCTTTGATGTAATATACCTCATATATAATGCATTATTTATGCATTATCAGTCATCTAACTTTTTCTGCAATCGTTTAGTGCATTTCACATGCACAATGGAGCCGAATACATGTAGATGATCAATCACCGACTTTCTCCTGGTCCACAGCTCATATGGAGTCAACTCCTTCAAACGTTTAGTGGAAGTCTGATTTAAGAGGTATACAGTGGTATTGGTTGCCTCTCCCCACAATTCACGAGGCATTTTCTTCTCTTTCAGCATGCTCTTTACCATGGACATGATTGTCTAGTTCTTCCTTTCCACTATATTGTTCTACTGAGGAGAGTAGGGAGCAGTCAACTACCTTTTAATGTCCTGTGAAACACAAAAATAATTGAATTTGTCAGAATTATACTCTCTACCTCTGTCTGAATGAAGACACTTTAGTTTTTTGTTCTTCTCTACTTCAACCAAAGTTTTAAACTTCTTAAATTGACTGAATGCTTTTGTTTTATGCTTGAGCATAGCCACCCACATTAGCCTCAAGAAATCATCCACGATGAGGAAATACTAACTTCCCCCTAATGTGGGTGGACTGATTGGGCCACATATGTCTACATACACCAGCTTGAGGGGCTCTGAGGCTTTGAAAGCAGAAACATTAGGAAATGGAACGCGATGTTGCTTCCCTACATGGCAACTCTGGTAGATGTGATCAAGAAGACTAATCAGTGGAAGTCCCTCCAATAATTTCTTACTGGACATTTCCTTTAATATGCAAAAGTTCTAGGGGCCAAACCTTGAGTGCCATAGCCAACTTGTAGTTTCATTTTCTTTAGTGATTGGACACTATTCTATCACATTTAGCTTAAGCAAATAAAGCCTTCCCTCTGTTCAATGAACTTCAGCAAGTAGTGCTCCATCTCGGTCAAAGATGGTTAGTCGGCCTTCATACAGGACCATCCGGCAGCCTTCTTCATCTAGTCTGCCCAAACTAAGAATATTAGCACATAATTTAGGAACAAAGAGAACATTACTGAAGTGAATTTTCTCCCCATCCTGCCGATGAACAAAGACTCTACCTTTGCCTTGAATTTCAACACATGAATTGTCACCAAATTTGACAAATCCAGAGGCTGATTCATCAAGATCTGAGAAATAACTTCTACTTCTTGTCATGTGATTAGTAGCTGCAGTATCAAGATACCATGGTTCCAGATCTTGAGCTCATTCTCTGAGCCTTGAAGTAATAACTCACTCTGTTCTACCACAATCATCATCAGAAGTGAAGATACTTCAGGCTTCTCTGTGGTCGCAGCAACATATGCTTGCTCAGGTGTCACCTTCTTGGTACTTCGACATCTGTAAGCAAAATGGCCATATTTCTCATAGTTATAGCACTATATTTAAGATTTATTGAAGTTCTTTTTACCTTCATCAGGAGGAGGATGTCAACCTTGATCACAGCCTACTCCTCCTCTTGGGGCTCTCACTCCTTAAGCCACAACTCATGGACAGTCAAAGAGCCGATGACTTCGTTGAGGCTGATTTTGTCCAAATCAGCATATTGCTCTATAGATAAGGTAAGAGCATCAAATTTTGAAGGTGTTGCCCATAGAAATCACTGCACTACCTCTCTTTCTTCCATTGTCTCACCCAAATTTTGCAAATCCAAGATAATGCAAGTGAATTTCATCGCAAAATCCACAACTCCTTCCCTGTGCATTGTGAGAATTTCCTACTCATGCTTCAGCCCTTGGATTCATGATTGAATCACTCTGTCCACGCCAAGATTTCGTGACCAAAGAATCTCCAAGTTCTCCTTTGTCGTCTTCTTTGCATCAAGCACAATCATCGTCTCTTCTGAAATTGCACTGAAGATCACTGACAACGTCAATCAGTCTTTCTTCTTGGGTACATTCTCTTCGACTATCGCTTGTCATAGATCGTGAGAGTCAAGATATACCTCCATATGCATCGCCCAAATGCAATAGTTCATCTTCGAGAGCTTGAGGGATGGTGATGATGACACCATCTCCCCCCCACGCTCGCTGGAGGTACTTGCCTCACCTCCTTTCTCGCCATCTTCTTGATCCCATTGGACCAAGTTACTCTGATACCACTTATTGGCTTCGTAAGCCCAAAGAGGCTCTAGAGGAAGAAGAAAAAACACAAGGAGGTAACAGGAACAAGGAAAAATAAATAGAAATGAATATTTCTTCCAATTCGATTCGTTGAACACAGCCCTTTATATAGTGCAGCCAATCACTTGAAGAGAGAGAGTGCATCTGACTAACTTTCGATGACCTGGCTAGATGTGCAATGTGGCAGCACCACCACCATTATAACTCGAAGCGATGAGTGGCTGTGATCGATCCTGCAAAATAAACATAACAAGCATAAGATAAAGAAAACCACCCAAATTGTCTACTTCAAAAAAAATCGTAATTGTCTATAATTGATGATGGAGCAGGGAGCAATTCCCCATCACCTGAAATGGGCCTCGTCGGAGTCGTGGATCTCAAGTTCTGACAAAAGAACTTGGCGGTGGTGGGGAGAGTGAGGCCATCGGCAGCAGGAAAGCAAAACTCCTCAGCGCATGACAGAGGAGAAGATCAGGAAGGTGAGGAAGCAGGTGTTCTCCCATTCGTATCTCATTAGATTATATGTATAAGTCTTCTCCTTTCGTATATTGGACTACAGGTTTTGGGGGCTCAGGACCTTTGTTGTTCATCTTCCTTCTTCACTAGTGTCAGATCACACCTGCTCTGTAGCTCTGACCGTAGAAGAGGCATTTAGCCAATCTACCCAAATCTCGTCCCATCTCGAGGTTCCATTTTCCCGTACTCATTGCTCTCTTTTGATTTTGAACTCTAAAAGTCCTCATCACAGTGCAATCCTTCTCTTCCTTTTTCTCGGATGTTGATTGACCGATAAACTAGTTAGTGTGGGGATTTCATCGACGAAGTGAAGGTCAGGACGTCTAATTTGCACAAAGCAATGAGGTCTCCCGCAAGTGGCAAACCATGTTATTGTCTAAGGGAATAACAATAGATGACCAACATAAATATGGAGTAATTTAATAAATTTATAAATATCCAGGTTGTCATACAGTTGGCCCCCATACCCCCCCATATGTCTTATCTAGATAGAGAGAGAGAGAGAGAGAGAATTAGTGAGAGCCTTAGTACTTTCCTTTGATGAATTCTTTCATGTCCTGATAGAGATCGACGGTGTTGATGTTTCGGGATATTGGGCAAGCCTTCTGTGGGATAACGACCGCCGGTGAAAGTCTAGGGAGGCTGCTTCAGAGTATGG